CACTCGGGGTTCATCACAGTCACAGAACTCCGAATTACCCCATGTTGGGTGGCTAAAGCCGGCAATACAAATGACAGGTCCGCCCGGCGATTTAACAGCACACTTCGCATCCTAAACGTCGTAATAGTAAGTTAAACCTATACAGACTTCGATTTGCACATGTCACTCAAGCTGTCCCGACCCTCCCCTGCCCTCCCCCCCTGCCATCACCCACCGATGGAGACGATCCGCACGGGGTCCGGGTAGGTCTCGTCAAACACGGCCCGCAGGCCCTGGATCGACTTGGCCAGCGCCAGCGGCGACTCCTTGGCGAACACCTCGCCGTTACGCGAGATGAGGTCGTTGGCGATCTGTTCACACTGCTTCACCTGGTCCGACTTCATGGCGCTCTGTGTGGGGAGGACGAGAACGGTGTGAGATATATTATAGCAGTTTGCTCATGTGCGAGTACTGAATGGAGAAAGAAGGCTTACAGTTTGTAGTACAAACAAGGAAACCATAGTACAGACACGGTAATCGTAATGCAAGGTGAAACAGGAATATCGACGAAAATGAATGCACGTTACCTGCCATAAGAACATAATCTACTACTGATGAACTTGACGTCGTATTATGTAATCGTATTCATAATAAAGCTCATGAATAAAATAGGTATCTCAATCATCCTTTCCAAGTTCCAACGTTACCCTCCAATTTGACCCAGAATGATGCATAAATACCACTGTTAATTTTCACTGCAGTTTCCCCTCCTCACATTACTGGTGAAGTCGAACCGCAGCCGATCGGGGGCCACCAGAGAGCCGCGCTGGTCCGCCTCCGACGTCAGCACTCGACGCAGCGCAAAGTTGAGCACGTGGGTGCCAGTGTGATTGTTCATCACCTGCTTACGACGCTCCTGTTGGCGTCGAGGGGTTAGGGGGAGGGTCAGTGCACATTATGGGCTACACGGGGCAGAAGAGAAAGTTTGTTGGCTAGTGACTATATATAGCTCCGTTGCTCCAGCACACAAGTAAATTTTAACTGACGATACCATCGTCCAGTGAAAAGATCATCAGGTCAGTAATGCTGTGACATTGCCTGAATGATAGGAGTTTTGTTCACAAGTTTCGCATAGTGAATCTCCGATCAGCCCACTATGCATCCCCGCCGCCGGGGGGATGCTCGAGGACATTGACCAGGCATCTCACCTGGTCAATGAACACGTTCAGTGTGTCCCCGACGCGCAGCGTTCCAGCCAGGGAGCCGATGTGGAGCACGTAACCGCCGCGAACCTGGACATTCTTCACCGTGAACTCTGTCTCCTGAACGGTGACACGGGCGCAGGGGTCAGATCGGGTCACATAACGGCAAAAGGGAATGGTATGGATGACGGGATCAGGCATGTCCTGAGGGAGCCCATTGGGAACACACTCAAGTAATATGGGTCAGATTGGGTTATTTTGGATTAGAAAGGACCGCATGTAGGGTTTACGGAGAGGTAAAGTTCAGCAGAAGGAGATTTTAATGGATACACGACAGAATGGTGTATACTGACGATATACAAAGTCAAACGACAAAAAATCATTTAAAGAGTAAAACAAAGAACTGAATGTCAATGAATCTGCACGAGAGAACCAATGACCTGAAAGATGAACAAATCAACAGAAACTGAACTAAAAGAGCCGAGCTCCACGACCCAGGAGTCGAAGCAGGGCCCACGCCCGCCCGCCCCACACGCGTCCATTATCTCACCTCGTCGCCCTCCTTGGTCATGTATCCCTCGTCCCAGATTTGTCCGCCCTGCTCAGCGTACATGGAGGTCCGGTCGAGCAGGACACCGCACTCGCGGCCCGACGGCACCTCCTGGACAAACTGTTTGTCGCAGCGCAGTGCCACCACGCGTCCCTGGCACGCGCCGAACTCTGCCCGAGGACGGCGAGGGAACGATGAGAGGGGTAAGATTGGGTGGGTGACACAGAGTGCCAGCATGTGACACAACAAATACATAGACATTGGTAGAGAATCAAACATATGAAGTGATCGGGCGGCAATTTTGCGTCGAGCCCAGTTTGGGAGACCGCACAGATCGGAGAAGATCTGCACACGATAAAGACATTGATGAGCAATGAATTCATATCTCTGACTGACAGGACAGGTTCCATACAAAAAAAAAAACGAGCACAAGGCCACAAGAGCACGCTACCTTAATGTCCCACCAGCTCGCACGCTCTCCCTCCCCCCCCCCCCCCCCAGGACTCTCTGCCATACCGTCCCTCTCACCCTTCTCCGCTCTCCCCAGCCCGTACCGTAGACAGAGTCGGGGTCGGCCGACGCGGCGCTGTAGTCGTACTTTGGCGAGTCGTCGGTGGGCGGTACACCGCGTCCCTGCAGGTCCGCGATGGCATGCACGTCCAGGTTAATCTGGTCGTCCACGCCCTTCCCGCCGCCCTGAGAGATCAGCTGTGGGGGCGCGGAGAGGCGCCGGTCAGTTCCAGAGGAATAAGGAAAGACGGTCATAGACATAGACGCAACACGCCTGCGTATAAAGAAACCATTATAGCTGCTGCTCATCAACCATCAATGGTATTTGCACTTCTCCATGGCTATATCCAGAAATACATTCAAACATCCAAATTAGCAAGAACAAAACGAAATTGATTTATCCAATCGTCATCACCCCAAATTCCGAGTTTTTACTTTTCACCCAGCTCTAATAAGCACAATACACTGAGAGAGCGATATCATACTCCCACCATGACTGACCTGGGCCTGTTTTCTGGCGGCCTCGTACGCGTCCATGTCGATCTTCAGGCCGCGTTCCTCGCCCATCAGCGACGTCAGGTCCACGGGGAAGCCGTACGTGTCGTACAGACGCCAGGCCACCTCACCTGGGAGGTACCGCGCGGGATGAACGCGAGGAACGGTCAATCAGTGATTGACGCTCAGCGGTTCAGCTTTGAACCTCATATACCATAAGAATCGAATTTACAAGCGGAAGTGGCGCAAGTTTACGTTCATGTATTTTAAACCACATTAGACCTTAACAGATAATAGCAAATAAGTATTTGGCCAATGAGCTTATTGCAGCCTCGTAGAGTACCTATTTAACTAATTTAACTCCAATGAGATAATACAGTATGAGTGAAAAATGAGTAGGACCATTACATGAAATTATCGTCATGTCCATGGTTCGAACCGACGGCGAGAGTGCACAGAAGCGGCTGTTCAGGGCCACGCCGGAGACAGTACAACAAACTCACCGGGCAGTGTCTTGCTGTCTCCCATTTTCCCGATAGTGCGCTCCAGAAGGGTGCGGCCACGGGTGAGCGTCTTCAAAAACTGGGCCTCCTCCTCATTAATAATGTCCATTACAGTCTGGGGGTCCTTCTTTAGCTGTAACAGAGCAAAAAGGATGTCAAATGCGTCAAATAGGTAGAGCGTTCATAACTCGTTACAACCGGGTTCGTATCACCAAGGCCCGAGGCCGGCACGGACTGACAAAGAAAATCAACACAGCATTGGCACACTGTGCAGTAGACTAATGCATGCACAAAACATACATATGCCAATACAAAATTACACCAACTTTGGAATATTTATATGACACCAAATTAACTGAACTGGGCATCCAGTAAAACACAGACCTGCCCCATTATGGCAGTGAACACCACTCTACAGCCTCCCCTTCTCTGCTCCCTCTTCCCAACAAATCCTCGGCCTCTCCCACCGTCCGTACCTCTGGGAAGAAGTCGCCCAGCACGGAGACGACGGTAGGCACCAGAGCCGCGAACACTCCCCGCTTGGCGCCCAGCTTCTCTGTGGCGTAGCGCACGCCGCGCCGTAGGATACGGCGCAGCACGTACCTGCCACAGGCGGGAGACGGTCGTCAGACACTCTGGATAGGAAGGGCATGGTCCCTGGGCAGACCGGCCGAGCGACAATCATTGGTGAATAGCAAAATATTGATAAAAACACACGAGGTTTAAAAGAACAGTCGCAAGGACCACAATGTGAACGTTGTAATGAGACATGGGACTGGTGGTGTAGATGACAACAAGCACGACAGACGATGAAGAGCAAGTAACACTCTCATCACTAGCACGATTTCAGAATTTAAAACAATAACTACAATACGAAGTGATGCCATATTCAGAATATGTGAAATAAAGCTATTAACGTGTAAAAATACATCAATATAACTCCGCACATCCCTACCCAATTTCCTAACTCGACCGAGCCCCGCCTTTCTAGCGCGCCTCCCGCCGCCCGGCCTCGCCCGTCTCACCCGCGTCCCACGTTGTCCGGGCGGCCGCCGTCCGATAGGGCGATGGTCAGCGTCCGCACATGATCGGCCAGCACGCGGTACGCCATGTCGATGCCATCCACGTCCTCAGCACCCACGTGGCCCGTGTACGGTCGCGTGCCCGTCAGCTGCGGAAGGGGGGGGGGGGCAGATGACACCAGGCCGGCGGCAGATAGCTTTCAGGCGATACAATTACGCGGACAACTGACGATATATACCAATCTTATGTATCAGCTGCTTGTTGTATACAATAGACAACGACGGTATAAGCTGCTTCGTCTCCATATCGAGGAATGAATGAGCAGGGTCGGCAAGGGCAATGAGCCTCCATTGCTCGCAGATCTCATTCACTCGGAACATAAATATTTACAATCCTTACAAAGTTCAAACCAGATTACGTTTCACATGTCAGCAACCTCAAGCTACAATAAGCCAGACACCTAAACAATACAGTGAGAATGAGTAAAAAACGGACAAAAGTCAAAACACGTGTTCCTGGTTCAAACACAAAAAAAAAACAGTGACACGCGCGCGCGAGTCCATCGCCTACAGAGGATCGAGACCAAAGTACGTCGCGCGTTACCTTGGTGATTTGCTCGAAGATGGGCTGGAAGAGGTCGGTATCATAGTTGGACAGTTTGCCCTGCAGGATGGACACCAGACGCTCCAGGCCCAGGCCGCAGTCCACGTGGTTCTTCGGCAGCGGCTTCAGTGAGGCGTCCGGCTCCCTAACGGACACACACCATACGTCACGTCATAAAATCGAAACAACTTCGAGGTCTGTAATGGCAAGGCATTGATTAATCATGATTCTTATGTCAAAAGCTGGCCACACCATTCACGCCAGCAACATGATTACATTTATAGCAATCATTCATCCCTAAAATCTAATTACTTAATTGGGTTCAACGAGAGTGCGAACGAGGTCGATTAAGCCCAATTAGCCCCCTTCAAGAAGGATACCTACAACCCTCTCAGTAGTTCACTTCCACCGACAACTCATTATCTCGCCGCCGCTCACCAGCACCCTGTTACGCACCTGTTGAACTGGATGAAGACCAGGTTCCACACTTCGACCACGTTGGGGTCGTCCATGTTGACCAGGTGGGCGGCGTCCCGGCCTCCGATCCTGTCGTAGTGGATCTCCGTGCAGGGGCCGCACGGGCCCGTGTCGCCCATCTCCCAGAAGTTGTCCTTCATGTTGCCCTTCAGGATACGTCCCTCCGGGATTCTGAACGTAGGTGAGGACGGTCACGAGCGGGACAATACAGAGACAATGATAGAAAGAAAGCAGTCAAGATGACAATATGTAGCAAAATCGATAGCAGTGCACTGATAACCAGAAAACAAATACCGGTGACAAGAAAAGAATTCTCACACCAGTGGCGCAAAACTCACCCGAGCGACAGCCAGATGTTTTTGGTCTCCAGGTCGGGCCCGAGACCGGCGTCCTCCTTTCCCTCGAAGTAGGAGACGTACAGACGGTCTTTTTCCAGGCCGAACACGTTTGTGAGCAGATCCCAGGCCCACGTGCAGACCTCCTTCTGCGTGCGACAGAGACGGATTGAGGCGTGAGAGAGGGAGGGTCAGACACGGCAGCATCAGAACAAAAGAAACGGAGGCAATCATGCGTACATTATTACGTTAAAATAAAATTTAATTCATCAAGATGATGCCATACTACATTATGAACACTTTGGATTATTCGGCAATCGCGTTAACCCTTCCTCACCTTGAAGTAGTCGCCGAAGCTCCAGTTGCCCAGCATCTCGAAGAAGGTGTGATGGTACACGTCCTTGCCCACGTCATCCAGGTCGTTGTGCTTGCCACCGGCGCGGATACACTTTTGGCTGTTGACGGCGCGCCGCAGTCGGCCCTGTTCCGAGCCCGGCTCCACAGTGCCCAGGAAGATGGGCTTGTACTGCGGCAGATAAAGGGACAGGTCAATTCAGAGATTGCTGCAATCGGGAACTGACAGAGCGTCCCTCCGGAATTCTGAAGAAGGTAGGTGAGGACGGTCACGACTCACGAGAGGGACAATATTACAGAGCTAGCTGCACTAAAGTACACACATGAGCCGAGCCTACATGACATATAATCGCCGCGTAACCACCCAGCCAGCACGAACTCCATGGCGCATTATAATCGGACTAAGCGATCGCACCACCCGCCCTTGTCTGACTCGCCGGTCCCGCCACTAAACCCGCCGATCCCACCACCCACCCCGCACCTGGTTCATGCCGGCGTTGGTGAACAGCAGCGTCGGATCATCGTGCGGGATCACTGACGACGAGTGCACGTAGGTGTGTTGCTGCTTTTCGCGGAAGTAGTCGATGAACGCGCGACGCACGTCCGCACCCGTCTTCAGCTCCAGCATCGTGAATGGCCGACAGGAAATACAAGCTGCAAAGAGCGGGGAGATGTCGTCAGGAAATGCGTGAAATGTTTGAAGTAAATGTAACGAGGAGAATAGTGAGACACTTGGCTTCTAGGCTACGCATTGGTAGGCAGCAAATGATCGTCAAAAAGGTAATGAAACAGCCTAATTATATTTTCATTTGTCATTTCAAGCAGGTTAAAAATGGTCATATGCCTATTAATTAAAGATCAGTCACAGATCATAAACTAATGGCGGTTAAGAGATACAGATGCTGCTACATAAAAACAGCCAAACATCAATGGCAATCCAGGACTTGGCTTCTGGTTTCCATCACTTTGGGTACCTGGGGTCATGCTGCCAAGACCTCCCCAAAGAAATGCGGTTACATCCACCTGCTGGGATCTTCATAAACAATTTATTGGATTTCATAGCTTATTATGCATTTATGAGCCCAGTTAATGTTGTTGCATAATCCCTGAAAGGTGGTAAGGTTCATGTCTGCAGTGTGTCTGTACTCTGTAGATACAGGCTCGTCGTCTTCGTCGTTGTTCCCCCGGCCCCTAGAGGAGCGTAGCCAGGCGGCTCAATGGGGCGCGGTAGCCAGCGGCCGAAGCCGTAACTCGGTCGCCGTTGGGTGAATAGTACCCACTAGCGCCAGGTGGCGCCCCGCCAGCGTGGACATTGCAGCAAGACGTGCCGCGGGGTGTCGGCCTCCTCTCGGCACACACGGCACAGCGCGGCCGGACACTCCGCGGAGTTGCACAGGTCGCATCCAGGCGTTGGGCGACGGCCGATACGGTGAAGGTACTGCTCCGAGCAGGACCAGTGGCCGGCTCGGTCTCGGAGCTGTGGATGTCGACTGCGGAGCGGCGATCTTCTCCCTCCACCGGGCCCGGCAGACGGGAGCCCCAGATCTCCTTATGCCACCCGTCCGGCCAGGCCTCCCTCCACCTTGCAGGGGCAGAGCGGGCGGCCGCTCTGGTCAGTGGTGACGTTGAGTCGATTGGTGGGGTGTCTTGTGACAAGCAAGGCACTGGCCTCTTTGGCAAGGCCATCCACTTTCTCATTCAGCGGCAGCCCGCAGTGCGCCGGCAACCACTACAGCTGGATGAACTGGAGTCTGGAGGGACCTCCTTCTCGAGGTGGACTCCGTGAACATTATTACCGAGAGGATACACGGCGCCACGGACATCGCTAGATCGAGGCCGTAAATCGCTGTAGCCAAATTACAATACATGCATTGTATTTGGCACATCTTTTTGTAGTGGGATTGAATAATTGAATATTTCTCATCTCAGATATGCCAAAAAATATTCTGACCATTTAATGAGTATAATAAAACAGGAATAAAAATAGGTTAATGTACTTGCCCATTCCTCAGTGACCTTGACTATTCATGTCCTAACTCCCAAAGTCTAATCTCAAATGTGCTGGTCTGTTCACAATCTGTAGAATCAAAATTTTCTGTACCTCGGCAAAAAATATCACCGATATCAGCATTTCTTCAACTGATATGGAGGGTTTGAATGTGGACATGTCGGAAATATAATCTAAATATTGATTATCACTCCTTATATGGTCATCGCTCCACCCATTTTTGTGACGTCATAATCTTTTATTTCATTAATCTTATTTTAGATTACCTCCCTGCAGTTTGCCCAACTGGAGTCCCACTGTGTCCCGCTGTACTCTGTAGTATGTTGAGTCCCACTGCCCACTATGTTTGGCGCTGTAGTCGGTTGAGTCCACTGAAGGTTGAGTCTCACTCTGTCCCGCTTGACACGTTCTAGTAAATTTTCATATTGCACCAGCAATTTCAACTCATCAACATCCTAACCACCTCCATTAGCCCTGCATCACATGCAACGTGTCATTGTCATGAGGCCAGAACCTGAACCGGCGGCGCGAGCCACGCCGGTAGGCGGTAGGTACCGCATAGTGAATTTTACAGACAAAGAAAAAAAAACATTATGTGGAAGAACGATGAGTGACTCATAAAAACGTCAGAAAGCAATTTTCATGAAAATGTGACTTACTTTCTCTCAAATCTTCTCCTAAAAGCCTCGACAGCTGTCCTCCGGAAGCGTGCAGCGGTGCAGCCTCGACGAACGCTGCGCATTACAGTGACCTTGACAGGTTCTTCAGATGCCTAAAGTGCAGACATTTTCATCGTAACGGCACTACTGCTTTGAGGTGCAATAGTTCGAAATAAATGCTGTTTCACGCAGCCATAAAAGAAATACGATTTATCTGCCGTAATAAGATACGATAGGTTGTGCAATAGGAAAGGGTTTGTCAAAGGCGGTCGACATCGGTTACCGCCAGCCCCTTACGCTGACGTAATAACGCAGCGGAACACGTAATAAACAAAGTTGCCATCAAGCGTGCGCCCGTGCCCGCCCGCAACCTAATTTTACCAATGTTTTTAGCGCTTAGTCATACCTTGAGGCTTGAACTGCAGGTCGGTTGCATTAGAACTCCATCAAATATAGTTCACGATATGCAGTAAGACATGAACAACCGTACTTCGTAAACTGTTTTCCAAAACTTGCCTTTATTTTCAGTTACAGGTCACCACTTTGTGAACCACTAACTCCAACTCGTAGGATAGCCTGGATGTGGCCATAGGCATACTATGTTGGACGCTCAGCACAACATAAGACATACCATCCAAAAAGGATACAAACTTTTGACTGACTGAACCATATTGTGATCACAAGGCGCATACAATTCTTTCTCTTCTCTTTCCTGAAGCACGTATGGGAATGGCGGCACAGCGCAGGCCTATGTGTATGACGAAACAATGACGCAAGAACGGACGACCATAGAAGTACAAATAAGTCGAAAAAAACGAACAATCACCAGTTTTGTCCATGGAAGAGATACTAACGAACGTTCGGTACAACAGCTGCAGCCTAGACAATCACGCACCACTTAGGTACTTTACGAGTTTCACGATGGAGGCGAAGGTCTTACTCGCCAGTGACGCATTTCACAACACCTCTGAGGAGGCCCCAGCAACATGAAAATAATTGACGTGTCGGTCCTAGGCCGCGGGATGGGATACGATGACCGGTACCGATAAGCTACCAGCACGACAGTCGACGACGTCCGATGCACATCACGGCCGGCCCGACACTTCATGTGTCGTGTACGAAGACACACAGAGGTAAGCACATAATCGCGCCTCGGGCGGTTACCGTCTTTCTCGCGTCGTTTCTCCACTCCACACGAAAAACGACTTTTGTATCCACCCGACCACTACCCTTCCCCCCATGAAACACTGTTCTCCCCTCCATCCCGACCCCACACGTCGTCAGCAACCGCTAGAGCAGCTTCTTGTTGACGATCTCATAGACCATGCGCCGTCGGAAGTAGGGCATGTGCTCCTGTGTGAAGGAGAGCCGCGCGTCTCGCGACAGGTACTCGCCGAACTTGCACGCGAACACGCCGCAGTCGGAGCCGTTCATCTGCTGAGGGATCTCCTGTAACAGACACAGCGGGCGGAACTGGTGAGCGGCGGTCATCTGGAAAGTCGGGGAGCGATAAAAAACATATCAAGCGGGACTTCAAAAAGTACTTTCGCCTTTGTAATAGCACAAAACTTTTCACAAGAACCATCGCTGACCCATGACACCACTCCTTCACACCACAAGAAGTTTCCCCAACCTCCCCCACACCAGTGATTTCGGCCCTCACCTTTTCATTGACGGCCTGCCAGTCACTTGTGTCGAGCGGCTGCTTCTTCTTATCGGCGTGCTCGTCGCGCAGGTAGCGCAGGATGGCGTCCAGGCCGCGGTTGTTGTTGCCCAACATGCTGTCGAAGTAGCGGACCGCCTTGCGCCGCAGGTCCACGCAGGCCAGGCACCAGTGCATGCCCAGGTGAACGGGAATCAGTAGCAGGTCGTGGGCGAAAATGTCCACCTGTTGGTAGGAGGTCACTCAATGTCATACTGTCCGATTAGTGAGGTTCGCTGCTGCACGACATGCCCGAAGACAGATGGTGCATACGCAATTGCTGCAGATGGGATATGTGGAACATCGCGTGCACTGCATACTCTGCGCCAAAGAAAGAATTCCTTCATGATAAGAGGACGCAACCATCATCTGATGACTTACATTAACTGGTATGCGATTGTCAATGCGAGAGACGAATCTTAGTCGCAACCATCGCAACAGTCATATCAATCTCCATCATTGCCATGCCGCTCCCGAGAAGTCCGTACCTTCCTGGTCCACCTTTTGACGGAGCTGTGTCCCTGGGAGACAATCTTGCCGTAGAAGAACGTATTGAAGCAGTAGACCTTGGGCAGCTTCTCGTTGGTCTTGCTCCGATCCATCACCAGGTTCATGTAGAAGTTGATGACCTACGTACAAAGAACGATAAGTGAAAGGCGAATATACGAGTAATCACAGTCTGCTTATCAACTGATGAGACACACTATCGATTAGTATGACCTCATAATGTAAAATAGTGCCGGTGATTTCCCATTCTCTTATTTTAGACCTCTTCATCAATACATATGGTTTATCAAACAGTCCAAAATCGCCACTCAAAACCCCGTATCAGTATAAAGACTATCCAAACTCCGCAATTCAGCTGATCGGGCGTCGGTTCCCGGTGGTGAGAGCCCGTCCGTATGTCTCACCTCGTCGTTCAACCAGTTGAGACTCTTCAGCGTCTGCAGGTCGTGTCGGGTAACGCGCTGGTTGAATGCCTCGGCCATCAGCTCGTTAGGCGGCGACGGGCGCAGCGCCGCAGAGATCACCCCCTGCCGGTCACACCAGATGGGATAGAGGTAATCCAACTCACTGGGGCGGAGAGCACCAGGGCCAATCACACTGGCAATGCGTGTCAGTCAGAATTCAACATTTTTCAGCACATAGAATACCCGCTAGAATTTTGGCAACAAATAGCTACTGACATTTTTTTAAAGAACATTGCCGTTCCCACTCCTTTCCATTGATCAGTTCACGGGTCGCCCTTCCATAGCATCAGCTGCATGGTGTTCAGAACCCGCTCCCACTGCCCAGTGCCCACCTCCATCTCTGCCGTCAGCTCGGGCAGGGCATCCTCCTCCTCTTCCTCTTCCTCTTCCTCCTCTGCCGGGAGCGCCAGCCGCTGCGTCACGCGCATCTGGCGCCGCAGACGCTGCGCCAGGTGGCGCTCCCACTCGGCGTGGTTGAGCCGCGAGATGGCGCCCCGCTGCTCCTCCTCGGCCAGCCGCCGGCGTCGCTCGCGCTCAGAGGCCGCGTAACTCTCCCGGCTGCGGGGACCAAGGGAGTGAAGGAGAGGCCTTTGTCATGACAGGTAGAAAGAAGAATGAAACACACATACACAGAGTCGAAGATAATGGTTCAAGAGCGAGAAACTAGAATGTATAAAATTTTCGCCAAAGTAATACACACCGAGTGTCCGCACGCGTTGATGGTTAAGCACTTAACAGTGATAGTCCATAGCTATTCTAATATCCAGCAGCTCAGCACAATCATGACAAGCGTCCTAAATATTGCGCGACAACCGCTACTCACACTTCGGCAAAGTGTTTGAGGTGCCGACTGATGTCCTCATCGAGCTGGGTCTTCTTGCGCGCCGGCGCAGGGACCACTTTCTCCACCACGACGCTGTCATCGTCCGACACCACTGTCGGAGATCGACACCGCTCCCGTTAGCGAAAACTGGCATACTAACGTGACCCTAATCGGGTTACAGTGGCGTGTCAAAGGAGTACGGACACACCGACATCACCTGACTGTCGGTGACACAGAGCAATTGACGCCTGACACGCCGCGAAGATGTGACTTAGGTCAGCCCAGGTGTGTCACCGAACATATAACCACCGTGACATATCTCGCATCTGGAAATATCGAACACCCAATCCCAAACTCTCCCTTGCTGACCTCGCTCCCCTCTCCCTCGTTCTCCCAAAGGTCAGCTCACCTGCACTGGTGGGCTGTGAGTCGCCCTCGCTGCCACTGAGCACCACCACTGGAGCTGAGGCGGCGGGGAGCGCGGCGGGCGGACGCCGGCCCGCAGCCGAACTGTTACTCTCGCTGCCTGTAGACACTAGGTCAACCAGCGAGACGCGGCGCGCCAGCTCGGAGGTGGAGGCCGGGCCCAGACGGTCGCGCCGCAGCGCCGCCGGAGTGCGACCCATCCTGGAGGGGGCGGGTTGGGTAGGTTAGACTGATTAACGAACATCGAAACACTGCATCCACATCAGACAATCCAGGAGGCTCACAGATGTACTTTGAAGGAATACATTGACATGTTACTCCATTGGTCTTTTCAGCTGCGACTGCGCGAAAAACAGTCACCAGTATGACTTATGCGAAAGATACAATAATTTAGTCAGCAAAACAGCTAAACAATACGAACAAAACCTCACCGGAAAGTCTCCCAGAAAACCCACACACCCGAGAGCGCGTAATGCCGTACTCACGATGTGGAGGCGAGCAGAGACCTGGTGCGGAAAGAGGGCTCACTGATCAGCGACAGAGAGTGCACGCTGCCGGCGCCGGCAAAGTCGGACAGCAGCTGCTGGTAGCGGCGCTTCTCGTCCAGTCGAAAACACTGGCGGGAGAACGACCGGGGGCGGTGAGCGGAGGCAGAAAGAGTTCAGAACGGGGCAGTGCACGGGATATGCGCACACTGTACGAACGTAACAATACACAACAGGACTTGTCTTATAGTATGTTGTAAGGGACAGTACATGGCACATGCCCATAATCTCTCCCTCGCCGAATATTAAACTCATGGCGTACAACGATCAGAAATAATCGAGTGATTGCGATTTTCGATGCTACGAAGAGGTTAACAACATTTCAGAAAATAAAATAAAAATAACGTTATAAAACCGATACTCTAATGGTAAGCTATAGAAGCGGCTCGAGCCAAAATATTAATCCAAGGCTACAGATGCAATCAGGTATCAGACTTACAACAAAACAAACGAAAAGCGGAGCAACACAGAAACCCCTTTATACAGGTAGAAGATGACCACGCTCGCGAACACACGCCATGAACGTATACAACACTTACGTTGAGCGTGGCTGAGATGCCCCGCTTGATGCTCTTGGCGGGCGCGATGCCCATAAGCTTGTCGTAAAGAGTCCTGTAACCGAACAAAGACGTTAGAAACGGGGGTTTGTCTTAATAATTCTAATCCATACCACTGGGTTTTAATTATGAAAGACGGTCTCAATTTAATTAGCACACTGCTCACTGACCACAAACTGAATCATCTAGACATAGAATCCACGAATCAAGTCACTACTCGAAACATGCCCGAGCTAAAAATTATGCCAGTAGCATAGCATGAGTAAAGACAACCGATTGACCAGCTCTTGGCTAATGGCTTGTTCCTTTTCTGAAGGCCATCGCACCGAAACATAAGCTGAAGGTTTCTGTTCATTCTGGGCTGGGTAGCGCGTGTGTATTATTGTGTGGGAGGCGAATTAGGAGAAGCAGAGGCCACCTACTGCTGTTTCGGCGAGCGCTGCTCCTGTTTCTGCTGCTGTTGGCGTCTCAGAGGCGAATTTCTGCCGGCCACTCGGCCCGTCTCCAGCATCTGACGGAAGCTGCGCACGCCCGCAAAGTCGCTCCTCGGAGTCGCCCCTGAGGGAATAAGCCACACAAGTGCCACCGCCTCTAAAACAATGCCTCTGGCTAAAAATATGAAGACAGGAAGTACGCGTGGCCGGACACAAACATATTAAAAAAAAAACTAAAGGAAAAGAAATCTGGTAAGCAGTAGGGACGTTCCAAAAGTAATGCCTCCTATTTTTTAACTCAAAAAGTTGATGAGATTGGAAGATGGGGGTGGCGTTATTAAAACGAACATACTGTTTTTGTTCTACGCTTATTTTTCTACGTAGTCACCACTACTATCAATGCATTTTTGCCAGCACTGAACGAGAGCCTTGATGGCTCGCTCGTAAAAGTCAGCGCCCGCCGAGGTGGTCCTTTTCTTCACGGCGGCAATGACGGCGTCGTTGTCTGGGAAGTGCTGCCCACGTAAGCCGTCTTTCAGAGGCGCGAACAAGTGGAAGTCGGACGGTGCCAGGTCAGGACTATAAGGAGGGCGTGGCAGCATGTCCAGCCGAACTTTGCCACACATTCTGTGGTCTTCAGACTCGTGTGTGGCCTAGCGTTGTCATGTTGCAAACAGAATGCTTCTCTTTTCTGGCCTTACGTGGGCTATCCGGGCCTTCAGTTTTGTCAACGTTTCAACGTAATTGTCAGAGTTTACAGTCGCTCCTGGTTCCAGGAAATCCAAGAGGATGACACATTGCCTGTCCCAGAAGACGGTGCACATCACTTTGCCTGCTGGCGCCCGGTGCGCGGACGTCCGGAGCGTGCTTTGTCTTTGACATCACTTTCACCGCTCTCAAAGCGACGGACCTATCTGCTAACTGTGCTCGCATCCACCGCGTCTGCTCTATAGACCTGCAAACGTCGGTGAATGTCGATGGGTGCATTCCCTTCCCTGTGAAGGAATTCAATGACGCATCTCTGCTTCTGACGAGTTTCCATGATGAACTTCGTTTACCAAGACGTCACGCAGTAAATAGCTGTGATAGATAAATGAAAATTTAAAGACATGCGAGTTAAGGTTAAGTCATGATACGGTGCAAATTTCAACGCCCTCCGAGCATTTGGGGCGGAGTTAAAAAATAGGAGGCATTACTTTTGGAACGACCCTCGAATTGAATTACGTACACTATCGAAACCATTTCGAAACATAAAATGAATATGATGAAATTAGAGCAAGCAAAATCAGCCTTCAAACCCAATATGAGGTTCTTACGCAGTCTGAAAATATCTGGCTGGTAGCCGCCACTCACCTCTGCTGTTGGCCGATCCATTCTTCACCTTCTGTTCAATAACGACCACATCGTCGTCGCCGTTCGAGGTCGCGGCCGTGGCGCCCTTCTGAGCGGGCGCGGGCCGGGGCGGCGCGGCCTCGCCAGCCTTTACGTCCGACGGGCGCCGCTCCACCGTGATCGGTATCACGCGGTTGGTCCTCTCCACCAGAATGGGCACCTGGGAACAATAATTACCTTCAGAATCGTAGGTACCAAGTCTCTACCGATTTAGCTGTGCAAACGAACCAGCACCGAAGATACTTAATCAGCGGTTGATCTAATCTATCTCCCAACTCATCAATCGTCCTGGTGTGTACTGGAAAGTCTACTAACTCATCTCCCGTCCCATTTACCGACTCACTCATTTATTAACCGAGCTACCCACCCATCTATCGATGTGTTTGCCCTCCAATAAGCTACCGACCCGCCTCCCGTCCCATCCACCCACCTGTCTGCCGTCTGCTGGCGGCGTCGGCGGGCGCGGCGGCGGGTCGGTCAGCCGGCGGCCGGACCGGCGCGGGGAGCAGATGCGCCGCTCGCCGGCCGTCGGCGCCGCGCGCTGTGACACCACCTCCACCTCCTGTGGACGTCAGAAGGAAATGAGACGGACAGTGATAATCCTCGAGTGGTGGGAAAGGAGAACTCAGCAAGAACAGCAAAAGTACTAACAGTTTTAATAGACAGCAAAACGAAGCACAATGCTTCAAATAATATTTTATAACAATAAAAACAAACCAGTTATACCAAGACTCAACCAAATCAACCAGTAGCCGCGTCTCTGTGAGGCTCACATGGTCCTTGCTAGTTGACGGTCCATGCAGTTGGGTGGCTTCCGAACGGTGTCTGGCCGACATGTTCCTCTCTGTCATGGTGCACAGCCGCTTAGCCAACTCGCCCGGTTCAGAGTCATCACTGTCGTCCCTTTAAAACACAAATGCCGACTGTGAGTCATTTTTAGCAAGGCACCAAGCAAAGGAAAGATCAAGCAGCTAGTGAAAGATTGGGGGGTTAGAAACTACAAATGTGGATAGGAAGAATGGGACAGACATCTCCAATTGCCAATGAGGAGGGAGCACTGAAGAGTCAAAGGCCAGGATGGCCAACAGAAAAAGTCACAAGAAAAAACGTGAAAGAAGCTACAGTGACTGTTTAAAGACCTTTACGCCCCTACAAGATTGACCAGCCAATTGAAAAATGTAACTGCAGACATGAAAAATAACAGCCTGCCAAAACTGACATGGGCTATGCATGCTAAATTCAAGATTTGACAGATGGTGCCAGGTTGTAGGTTGGTAGATTGTAGGTTGTGGGTTGGTAGGTTCAAGGTTGTCATTCAGTAGGTTAGGTTAGGTCAGGTTAAATTATGTTTTATAACTTCATCGTACCTACTTTATCTACACATTTACCCATCAATTATAGCATAGGGACATCAACAAACTTGGACACTCCAATATTGAGCTGTTTGACTAAAATCTATGAAATCAGCTCACAAAATGTGCTGGCAGCAGTCACCGCATCCATGAAACAGTACCATGGCAACACTGACACAGTTTACAAAGTGATGCTACCTAGCCTTGTCCGGTATCGGTAACCCTGGCGTCACCGGTAATGTTTTCGTTCAAGGTTAAGGTTTCCTGTATTAGGCCACCATGCCAGACCGAAGCATGCTGTGACGTCACTGGAAGAGAAGATAACGTACCACGCTATCAGTATCGACTGAGAGTCAGACAGACTCAGAACGACTCAGGCAGACTCAAACCGACTCAGGCAGACTCAAGCTCACTCGACCGACTCAAACCGATTCCGATCGACTCAGACCGACTCAAACTAACTCAGACCGACTCAACCGACTCAAATCGATTCCGATCGACTCATTTCGATTCCGATCGACTCAGACAGACTCAGAACGAATCAGAGAGACTCAGGCAGACTCAAACCGGCTCAGGCAGACTCAGACCGATTCAGATCGACTCAGACTGACTCAGATCGACTCAACCGACTCAAATCGATTCCGATCGACTCAGACAGACTCAGAACGACTCAAACCGACTCAGGCAGACTCAAACTGACTCGACCGACTCAAACCGATTCAGATCGACTCAGACCGACTCGGATAAACTCATAACGACTCAAACTGACTCAGATCGACTCAACCGACTCAAATCGATTCCGATCGACTCCGATAGACTCGGAACGACTCAAACAGACTCAGGCAGACTCAAACTGACTCGACCGACTCAAACCGATTCAGATCGACTCAGACTGACTCAGCTAGACTCAGAACGACTCAAACTGACTCAGACCGAATCAACCGACTCAAATCGATTCCGATCGACTCAGACAGACTCAGGCAGACTCAAGCCGACTCAACTGACTCAAACCGATTTAGACCGACTCAGACAGACCCATCGGTTTGACCTGATTCATCAGACCTGAATCGGTTTGAGTCGGTCGAGTCAGTTTGAGTGTGCCTGAGTCTGTTTGAGTCTGTCTGAGGCTGTCTGAGTCGTTCTGAGTTTGTCTGAGTCGATCGGAATCGATTTGAGTCGGTTGAGTCGGTCTGAGTCAGTTTGAGTCGTTCGAGTCTATCTGAGTCGATCTGAATCGGTCTGAGTCTGCAAAAGTCAGTTTGAGTCTGCCTGAGTCGGTTTGAGTCTGCCTCAGCCGGTTTGAGTCTGACTGAGTGTCTGAGTCGTTCTGAATCTGTCTGAGTCGATCGGAATAGATTTGAGTCAGTTGAGTTGGTCTGAGTCAGTTTGAGTCGTTCTGAGTCTGCCTGAGCCGTTTTGAGTCTGCCTGAGTCTGTCTGAGTCGTTCTGAATCTATCTGAGTCGATCGGAATCGATTTGAGTCGGTTGAGTTGGTCTGAGTCAGTTTGAGTCGTTCTGAGTCTATCTGAGTCGGTCTGAGTCTGCCTGAGTCGGTTTGAGTCTGCCTGAGTCGTTCTGAGTCTGTCTGAATCGATCGGAACGATTTGAGTCGGTTGAGTTGTTCTGGGTCAGTTTGAGTCATTCTGAGTCTATCTGAGTCGGTCTGAGTCGATCTGAATCGGTCTGAGTCTTTCTGAGTCGGTCTGAGTCGTTCGGAATCGATTTGAGTCGATCGATTTGAGTCGGTTGAGTCGGTCTGAGTTAGTTTGAGTCAGTCTGAGTCGATCTGAATCAGTTTGAGTCTGCCTGAGTCAGTTTGAGTCTGCCTGAGTCGTTCTTTACGTTATCTTCTCTTACCCAGTGACGTCACGGCATGCTTCGGCCTGGCAGGGCGGCCTAATACAGGAAACCTTAACCTTGAACGAAAACGCTACCGGTGACGCCAGGGTTACCGATACCGCCTTGTCCTATGGTGGCAAATTTGCACCAGCCCACACCCACTTAGCCACAATAAATATTGACAAAAGTATGTTATATTATATGAAACCAAATAATGATAATGAATATCAACAATCTGAAAGTTACGTATCAGCTTGACAACAAAATCCACCTACCTGCCTCTCTTCCCTGCGACTATTTGTATTTGGTCTGTTGTTGAAAATACATAACTTTTTAATGTTTTGACTATGCTTGAGAGCATGACTTAGATCTTAACTGTAATGGTGAATGAGAAAAATGGGAATAAATTGAAATATTAATATAAGTGATTTGTCAGTTGGTATCTAGGTACTGATAAAATGGAATAGCGTTCTTTGCGTAAATCAGTTGGGCAAACTAGACTTTTGGAATCAAAATATGGAGGCATCAATAATTTGATTCTAGTGGGAGGAGCCATGACCAAATATGGGCATGGAATCAATTTTTTGATTCATTTGGGTACACTTTTGACTTCAAATGTATCATTACGGTTGATAAAAGGCCCATGACGGTGAGATTTTTCTTAAAAAAGGTAGAAAAATGTGGTAGCTTTCCAAAAAGTGTTACCTCAAAACTAAGAAATTGTCCCTTTGGCCTTGTGAATGGGAAAAAGACAGAGCCACTGTCCATCACGTAAAAGCTGTTTTGAGGAAATCACACTGTATGTTATTTTTGTATCATGAATTGCATACTAAACAATTAGTATTTGTGTAAAATGGCAAAATGAAATTTTCAAACCCCTTATCATCATTGTTGTAGTGCTTTTATATTTATTATATGGTTTTTACCTGTTGCTTCAGTTTTTGTATTCTTGACATTTAAAAATTGTGAATTGTTATCAAATGTAGTGAAGGTTAACTACAACAATGCTATAGGTATCTGTTGTGGTGCTGAGGATACCACTAAATGAGAACAGTAGCAAGATAAATGATGTATTCCTGCAAGTCATTGTTGCCTATCTCTTAACATTACCTGTGAATCAAAATAATGATTAGCCAGCTGATGGGGAATCAATATTATGATTATCTGTTTAAAGTGAATCAATTCCTTGATTGCCTTTCACTACCTATAGAAATCAAATTGTTATGATAGGAGCAATATTATTTTGCTTAGGAGATAGTTTAAACATTTCTGTTCAAGATCAGGCATGCTCCTTCTTGAAACACTCTCTTATTTTTATGTGATTGGTAAGTTAGCAATGGTCTGCATTTATGCCCAAATATGGTCATAAGGAATCAATCTTTTGATGCCTCCATATTTTGATTCCAAAGGTCTAGTTTGCCCAACTGAAATAGCCCTTAGGACTGCCGACTGGGACTAGCGCGGCGACCAAAGGCATCAAAATATGTACCGAAAGAATGAATAATATCCTATGCACCAAAACAATATCAATATGCTCTCCCAACAGCACTTTAATCGATAAATGACAAACGACTAATAAAATCAAAACCTAACAAAATATCCAAGGGATTCCAACAGCCGCCGGCCTGCGCCGGCCCCGAAGATTTGCGACGATAAATGGCGCCTTGAATGCCGCCATTCAAGCATCAACGATAAGTTTCTGATAAATTGTTACCCAATACGTCACAAGACTAATCACCCGTATGACAATCGTAATTTTTTTGATGTTTTTTGAGAGCTCAACGCATAAAACTGTTCACAAAATTTGCTGCTTAAATAGATTTCGGAGAAACACTTCAATAATAATTGTTAAAAATTGTTTACAGTTTCTTCATCTTCAAGAGGACAGCTAAAGATTTATGACGTCAATATTCTACAAATATTTTACATTTTTGCGTTTCAGCTTTCAGCCAAACCCAAACATCATTCGTTGTTGTGATGTTGAAGGTGTCTGATGTCTCTCGTGATATTTTGATAGGTACTTACCCACCTACCAATTTTGGTTTTTAAGATTTTGCATTTTAATGTTTTATTTTTATTTAAGCTGGTCCTTAAGTCTTTCAAAACTTGATTCATTGTGATTCTGATTTCTGATTCCACTGCATTTTGTTACATCAACATGCCAATGATAATCAATAGGTAATCAATATCACAGTGCAATGTTGATAAGTTTTTCGGAATACCAACTTTGCCTATAACAATTGTGGTGTTCAGCATACTCTTGTCCTAATTTTATGGCTTTCTGGCTGACTGTTCTGTTTATAGCCTGCTAATTTGTGCCTGTTTTTCAGATACTTGCAAGGAAAGATGCTGATTGCATTGGTGATCTTTGCGGTTGTGTTTATAACTTTTCTTCTGTTTGTAATTTTATATATTTACCCAGTAAGTGCATTCCTGTTAACTGGTAAGGGCCATTACAATCATGACAATTGTAATACTGATACAGAGTCCAATTTCATTGATGAATGATTTGTGGGCAGTAAGGATCTCTTAGGTAGTTGTGAATGCTTTTTTGTTGTGCAGTTTGAGTGATTATGATGTGATAAAATATCAGTATAAAGCACCTTACCTCATATGCTGTATCATACTGTATCAGGACTCATGCTTTCAAGTGGTACCACTGTTTTTTTCTGAGAAAGTGCTGCTTTTCCAGAGTGCCACTCGGGATACTACAGTGCCAGGGCCTCCTCCATCAAGTTCCAGGCAAGTTTCAACTCTTGAGACTAATGAACAGCTTCCTAGTCATGATACCTCAGAGTGGAGACAAAGGAATGGTATGGCTGACTTATTAAAGGAAGACTGCCACCTTCAAAAAGTTTTCTCAGATCGGCCTATGATTTATTCCCTGGACAAAACAAAATTTTAGAATTCACCTGACAAAGTATCATCACGTGAATCGCGAAAAAAATTGTCGATTTTCATACAATTATCAATCGGTTAATGTCTAGCGACAATGTTTACACATCACTAGACTTCAAGGTCATAAGATTATTACATTTTATTTGAAAAAGTAAGGTATTTTATAATTTACTTATATATGATTTCATGAGAAATTGGCCATGTTTAATTTATTTTGCATTTAAGTTCGTAAAACATTAAAAAAATCATGGCTCATTTGGAATGGGTCTGGCCCATGTTAAACCCCATTTCCCACACTTTTTTGGAAAAAATGAACTACTGAATATATAAGTTTAACTTTTATTTTGACACTCCAAAATTCTTCTCTGATCTCGAAACAATCAAAGTTTTGGCATATATTTACCAAAAGATAAGAAAATTCATGTTTCAAAGTTATCGATAAACAGTAGAGATGTCGGTTTTCTTGGACTAAAAAAATGGCATCAAACTGAACTTTGGTCTCCGATTTCTCGCAAACGGGTTCGAATTTCGGAAAACCGACTTCAGTCTGGGACATAGGTGGCTCAGCTCTAGTGAAAACCGTTTTGTGGAAAAAAGGTGGCAGTCTACCTTTAACCTGTCAGCTTTCCCATGTCTAAGTAGTCTATGGCCTACACCCATCCCTGTTCATGTTTTCTTTTGATTTAGTCAAAACACTTTATTTCTTTTTTGTCAATGATGTTCACACCCCATATGTTTCATGGAGTTGAGTCTCTTTTCAGATGGTAGTTTTTCTCTTTGGATGTTAAAAAACACCACATCCTTTCTTTTTAGCAATATCTAAACCTCTGTTTAGTGTCTGAGTGTTCTTATACCACTCACCAGCAATGTAAATTACTTATCTGCTTTCCTATCAGCGATGGTAACACTCGATGTCTCTCCACCAGCGATGGTAACACTCTATGTCCCTCCACCAGCGATGGTTACACTATGTCCTTCCACCAGCGATGGTAACACTCGATATCCCCCCACCAGCGATGGTAACGCTCGATGTCCCTCCACCAGCGATGGTAACACTCTATGTCCCTCCACCAGCGATGGTAACGCTCGATGTCCCTCCACCAGCGATGGTAACACTCTATGTCCCTCCACCAGCGATGGTAACGCTCGATGTCTCTCCACCAGCGATGGTAACCTGACGGACCTGGAGCTGGCCGGCGGTCTCGGCGAGTACCTGCGCGAGCTGCATGCCCAGTACGGACCGCTGGTCTCGTTCCACCTCGGGTCGCAGCTGGTCATCAGTGTCGGCTCGGCGGCGCTACTGGAGCAGCACAGTGGCGCCGCCCAGCGGCCGGACATGTACCTCGAGTTCCTGCGGCCGCTGCTGGGCCGGGAGAGTATCGTCTGGGCAGACGCCGCTGAGACGGCCCGCCGCTGGCGGCTCTACCAGCAGGGTTTCAGCGACGAGTGCCGCGCCGTCTACCGGGAGGCCGCCGCGGAGGTGAGGATAGAGGTGGGAGGGGGAGGATGTCCATTGGGGCAGGGAGGGGAGGGGTTGATGTAGGAATGAGGATGAGTGGTGAAACGAACGCAAATCGGACTTGTTTGGTGCGATTTTGAATCAGTATTTGAGTTTTAAAAACGATTGAGTTTTGAATCATAGTTTGAGTTTTATGGATAATAATGTGACCAATTGAGCCACGTAATCCCTAATATTCAAGTGTGTACCAACGAGACTCCACAAATCGATTCATCAGTTTTCTCTATGCCACCGTCATCCTGCCTGTCCCTTTAGGCCAATCATCCTCACTCCTCAAACCAGGCGGCCTTATCGAGGTCCACTGACGCGCCCCTGCGCCACCCCAGGCGGCCGGCCGGGTATCTGAGAAGCTGCGCTCCCTGTCAGCCGGAGAGCACATCTCTCTCCAGCAGTACACCACGGCTCTGGCTCTGCACGTGATGGCCCGCTGCTGCTTCGGACACCATATGGACGACGAACAGAGCATGCTCAACTTCGCACAGGAGTATGAGATTGTACGTACGAGCTCGCACATTATGTGACAGATGGGGTTTGGAAGGGAGGAAAGGCTTTATGTCGATATACGTCACGGTTGTGTCTTGTGGCATCTTATCTGTTGATTATTGTAGGTGCCAGTTGTGTAGAAAACAGCCACCAACTTTCTAAGATTGTGCATATTCTGCAGATACTAAAATTTTGTATCTCAAAGGTTTGAATAACCCACCATTGCCATCCTGCGTCGTATCGTCGTATTCTAACCCGCGAGTTGCTGGGGGGGGGGGGGCGTTAAACGCCCCCACTTTTTTCGCCGGGCCATAGCATAAAAACGGCGCGCCGCAGGCGCGCCAAATTTTGGGTACCTGTAGGGAATTGATTGAGGTTTATTGTGACAAAGTTTCAAAAAACTCGGTCGGAAAATTTTTGAGATATCGAGGTTTTAGTGACGTCATGATTTCTGAGTTTTCGACCAAAAACGGCATATGTTCAAAAAATCATATAAAATCACAGAATAAACATATAGACATGCCGTAAACGCCATTAGACTGCCAATACCATGGAAAATCAAATGGCTATCTTCGATTATTGATTATCGTTCCGCATTTTCCAAAATCTTGAACTGAATCTTGGCAATTTCTCGTGACTACTTCACGACCATGATACATGAATTTCTTAAATTGAACTTTTTTAGCCAAACACGTACACATATGATAAAATGAATGTCACCATCGTGTTCTACGCCCCAAATTACCCATAAAACATGTGTCACAGGCTGCGAATATCAGTTTTTATTTTCGGGGATATGTGCCTGCCCGGTTGACCTGACCTTGACCCTGACCTATGCTTGACTGACCCCTGCATGGAGCTGACACTCTTGTAGGCCTTATATGATGGATTGTGCACCGTTTTGCCAGAGTTTATGACGGGAGGCGCCCATTGCGAAGTCCTGAAGTCCATGCTACTGAAAGCCCGATTTCAGGTGTTTGACCTGACCTTGACCTGACCTGTGACCTCAAAATTCAACTTTAAAGTACTCATCTGAAGCGTCTCGTCGCGTTCTTTCGTTTGCCGCCTCGTGCGTTTCGCTGCGCCTATTGGTTCTCGAGTTATCGGCTGGGGGCGTTTAACGCCCCCCCCCCCCCCCCCCCAGCAAACGGTGGGTGGCGAAATACCCCAGCAACTGCCGGGCTAATCTGCACTATAGTTCGTTTTTCTTAAGTTTGCCCCTCACTGTAAACGTCATTTTGAATACAGCACGAGAATTGCTAGCTGAATTACTGAGAAAACTGGTTGGCGCACATTGTATTGGAGATATGAATAATATTTTCAAAATATGTTTTGAACACAGACGATGTAACGTTAATGTTAAACGCCGTGCAATTTATTAATTAGTTCAGACATAATTCCTGAGAAGTCGTCTATCACTGTGGAGCTGTAGGTATGGGTAAATACGAGCTATAAGTCTGTGAAATAGTAAACAAATTTGATGAAATTGATCGTCTGTGAAATCTGGTGAAATCAATGTGCGCCAACCAGTTTTCTCAGTAATTCAGCTAGCAATTCTCGTGCTGTGTTTAAAAAGACGTTTACAGTGAGGGGCAAACTTAAGAAAAACGAACTATAATTATGCGCCTATTATTGGTGACGTCACCGTGCTCTGCGCCAATCAGGTGACGGCTGAGGTGACGAGCGAGGCGTGCGGCCGTCAGCTGTACGAGAGCCAGCAGGATCACCTGAGAGAGGCGGCGGCCGCTCTGCGCGACGTGGCCGGCGCCATCGTGCGCAAACACCGCAAGGAGAACAAATCGACGGTGAGAGCGGAGGCCGGGTAGCGGGAAGGGATGCCGGATCAGGGCTCTGCAGTGACAAGGGTATTAATGGTATGGCAGTTGGACTGCTCGAGTTGTGAAGCATGATGGGCGCAAAATGGCATTAGCATTTGGCACGCAATAAAGCCTCAATTAACAAACAAAGTCGTGAAGTATGGACAGTTAGCACTAACCGCTGTTATCTGAGCGGGGCAGTTAGTGACAATACTGGCAGCTGTGTAAGAACTCGAGGTGCCGATTCATGTGTCAGTAGAACGCTGAGAAGTGACAACTGTGTCTACCGTAGCGGTTATCCCTCCCGCCCAGTGACGGCTCCCCGGCCCGCGGGCAGGTCTCCCTCGTGGAGTGGGTGTCGCTGTCCACGCAGGCCGGCCGCGGCGCCGCCGGTGACTCGGACGCTCCGGTCAGTGACCTGCTGGCCCTGTTCCTGTTCTTCTGCGAGACGCTCTCGAGCGGCCTGTGCTGGACGCTGCAGCAGCTGGCGCGCCACCAGACGGTGCAGGATGACGTGGTGGCTCAGCTGACTGGAGAGAGGACCGATGACGGGTGAGTGATGAGTGACGCACTCCCGGCAGAGCGAGAGCTGGGGTTGAGTGTGGGGCGGGAGCGAGGGCCTAGGAATACCTGTGCTGGTATTTTTGTCCTGCTAGTTCAGGTACGACAGGAATGTGTGTATGAGGAATTAAGGATCATCAGATTAATTTCCAAAATATTGTCGTTTACTGGGTGTATTGATGTTTCTTGCCTTCACATTGGAAGGCTCCTGTTTCGGTCACACATATGACGCACGCATTTTCGTGTGGCTAGTCTGGTTTCGCGTAATGTTTTGTATTTCCACTGCTTTTCCCAGAACTGCCACGTATAACCCCTCCCGTTCTCCCGTTTTCTCAGCCTGGTGGGTCGCGTGCTCCGCGAGTCGTGGCGCCTCGGCTCTGTGGTGCCTCTGACGGCTCGCTGCTACGGTACTCCGGCGGCTGTGGAGGGACACACTCTCCCGGCGCGCACTCCGATCATCAGCGCCTACTGCGTCTCGCACACCGGAGACGGCTGGAAACAGCCCAACAAGTGAGCGATTCCGGAGGGAGGAGGAAGGGTCGGCGGGGGCAGTCGGGTGGCTTGGAAGACGATGGTTTTATTTAGCGGAATAGTAATATACGCGCTGAGGATGCGTATCTTAGATCGAATTACACTCACAGGCGACATGGTTTCATTATTTAATATACTTTCGGTCATTAATATGGAGTGTCACACGCTTTAAGGCGTAACACTTGCAGACGTAGCCATCGTGACCGGTAGTCACAAGCTTGCGTCATTGTGTACGGTAACCTCTGCGGCTGTATGGGGTATATTGGTATATTACTTGGACCTTGTTGCTGTAAGTTTATCTTCATATGCCCACTCTGCCCTTCCCCATTTGCCACTGTTCTGTGACCTTCCGGTAGGTTTGACCCGTCTCGGTTCAGCGGCGACACACCGGCGCTCGAGATGAATCCGCTGCCGTTCCTCTCCAAAAATGACGACATCGACTGTGTTATCAGGTGAGACGCAACTGCAGTGTGCCGGTCTGTAATGTATTCGCGGCATATTCGCCATAAGACAATATTGCGTCGTGACTATAACGAGTTTCTTCTGGCGTTTGTTTACAACTTTCCTCAGTAACAGGTTTTCTCCTGAACTGTTGCAGCACGTATGAGGATCTGGCGACGGAGGTGCTGCGACAGCTGCTGCCGTCCACCCAGCTGGAGCTGCTGCCGGACCAGAGTGACGAGCAGCTCATCACGCTGGTCACCACACCGCGGGAGGACGTGTGGGTGGCCGTCCGCCCCCGCGCCGCCGCCCAGTGACGTCATACTGCAGAGGTACTGTGACGTCACCACACCGCGGGAGGACGTGTGGGTGGCCGTCAGCCCCCGCGCCGCCGCCCAGTGACGTCATACTGCACACGTACTGTGACGTCACCACACCGCGGGAGGACGTGTGGGTGGCCGTCAGCCCCCGCCCAGTGACGTCACACCACTGAGAGGTACTGTGAAGTCATCAGTCAGTTCCCGAACCGCGGAATCATGTCATGGTGACGCGTTTCTGATCTGTCGCCGCTAACGGTAGCCGTGTTAAGGGCACGTCGGTCGTGTGAATAGTGGGAAGGTAGGGTACAGAGTACATACATTAGTACTGAACGGCGAAGGAACTGGCTGACCGGGACGGCTGAGCTGGCGGACCGGGCAGGTCTCTGATGGCCCCGCTGAATTGGAGTCTTGTAGTGAACGAGACTGATGACTCCATGACTGGATTGGCTACTTGCAGTAGGCTGGGACTGGACCTGTCGGGGCGGGGTGTGGGGAAGCAGTGTAATGGGTTGACTGGGACTGAGACTGATACAGACCGCACTGACTGGGTTCGGTGCCGGGCCGGTCGGGGGTACCTGTGCGTGCTTTCCCTGCTGGAAGGATAGCCTGTAGGGAGAGAACATAAAACCGGCACGATCACAGGGTCCCTAAAATGTGCTGTGTTTGTGTTCCAAGCCACAGACAGAGCGCAGTGCTGAAGGAGAGCTTTGAAAGTCTTCTATTTTTCCACGTTTGTTGTTGGTTTGCGTTTATTTTTGCTGTGTAGCCTGCACCTTAAAGATGCGTTGCTTATGGCTTAGTGATCATGCGTTTGAAACGCTCCAGTTAGTTGCAGTTGTGCTTTTATAAGCCTGGTTTGTAACAGATTGCATATTTTGTGACGAACGTTTAAAATAAGTGCTGTGAGTTTTACGCGTGTTTAAAAGAATCGGTAACTTCAGCGCCGCACAATTATGGTCGCACAAAAGGTCACGCAAGTAGGTAACTGACATTGGGGCAATGCAGCTTCTTCGCGGCTCCTTCACTGGCCGTACAGTCTGGTCAGAACCGGGAACTGGTAGACATTGCAGTTTTCCCCGGTCCTGCGCTCACGAACCACGCACCTAGATGGTTCTCTGATGGCCGACAGCCTTGTGTTCCAGGACTCGAAGCGCGAAACTGAGTACGACTGTATGCATATTGCTCTCTGTAGTCCTGTTGAGTCAGTTTACGGTGCGTTAACTTGAACTCAGTATGGCTGCACGGCGACTCCCTGCTGCTCTCTTTAGTCCAGGAGAGTCGACTCTTGCGTGAGACTCAGCACGGCTGTATGGCGACTCCGGACTGCTCTCTATAGTTCAGGAGAGTCGACTCGCGTGAAGCTCAGTATGGCTGTATGGCGACTCCCGACTGCTCTCTATAGTCCTGAAGAGTCGACTCTTGCCTGAGACTCAGTACGGCTGTATGGCGACTCCGGACTGCGCCTCGATCCAGTCGAGGTAGGGCGTCACGCGTGTGTAGCCGCTCGGTCGGCCCCGGTCACAGCCGAACGCTGACCCCCAGCTGACCACGCCCACCAGCACGGCGTGACCTTGACCCGAGGTCACCTGCAGCGCGCCGCCAGAGTCGCCCTGCGGTAGGGGCGTGAGGTCAGAGACGGCCGGGCTTGGTCAGAGGAGAGAAAATAAGCGGTGCTGCAGATGAGTGAACGCCAAGCGATGCATGGAACGAGGATCGGACTGTGATCACTGATGCCAGGCTCGTCACCCCCTATCATCTATGAGGGAAACCAATGAATCGAATGCAAGATTGGACAGAGACTGCCCTATCTGCATCAATTCCCCAATCTGTCCTATGTGCCTCATTGCACAATTTTCCTACCTCGGAGCTGCCGCGCCCAACTCACCCCGCAGGAGGAGGTACCCAGTCGGCCGCTGGCGCACATTTTCAGCGGCGTCACCACCACCGGCCAGACCAGCTGGCAGCGACAGTTGGCCATCAGGGGTACCTGAGCCGCCCTCAGACGACCCTTGGAGTCGCCGTCCGTGGCGCCGCCCCCGCCCCAGCCCAGAACTGTGCCCAGCTCGCCGGCAAACGTCTCCGCCACCTGGGGGAAGGAAGGAGAGGCTTAGTTCAGCCACCTGACCGACAGGCGGCGGTGTTAGCGCACCCCGCTGTATCGTCGTCCAGTGCAGTGGACTGTAGTCGAGCGTGAATATTACAAGAGTAATGTGGGTTATGGACACGACAGGAAAATACAACAAGACTCCTTGAACGACATAAGGGAAAAGATAAGTAATACTTAAGTAATACAAAGAGTCACTCTGAAAACGAGTCACTCTGAAATAAGTAATACAAAGAGTCACTCTGAAAACGAGCGTTGTACTTTAAAATAAATAAAGAGCGGGAATATTTCCTCACAGAAGTATATTCTGCATGATCTCGATGTGTCCATAATCCCCAAATGAACGTGTATCGTTTGACCTGCTGTCGGGTGGGCAGGCAGATGGGTCGGACGGCCTCGCTGTATTCAATGGGCCGCTGCAGTCGGAGCAGCGCGATGTCGTGTGTCACAAACCTGGCCGACCAGCCGGGGTGCACCACCGCCTCCGCAGCCGGCACCTAGGCAAAGAAAAATAAAAACTGGAGACACGGGGTGGTCGTGGGGCTGGGAGACAGGCCATCAGTGCGCAGTGCTGAATTTAATCCGGTTATTCGTTCAGGCCAATCCTTACGTGACTCTTGCCCGTTCCTTAGTCGGTGAACTGAGTTCAGGTCAGTATCATGACTTGATGCTGTAATGATTAGCTGACTTCAGACCATCACCTTTACCTGCCCTCTGCAGGTCGTCGTCACGACAGAATCTCGGTTCGCCCTGACTCAAGCCGCCCTCCCAATAACGACCCCTTGCCGCTGCGGACCTGACCTGGACGCTGTGCGGGCCGGGTGCCCGGAGCGAGGTGTACCCCAGCAGAACTGTGGCGGCGTCGGCGCGGTACACGCAGTGGGCGGCGGTCACCAGGTAGCTGCGACTGATGACGGTCGCCCCGCAGATGAACCCTGCCTGGCCTGAAACAGGGCAGAGTTATTCTCACACTGAGACAAAAGGTGCGTGCTGTGTGTTGCTCTGTCATGACTGGTGTATGTCAGGTCAGTAATGAGTTCATTTTTATTAGATTAAAATCATACTCGGATTCATCGGGTATGTCTGACTATCAATAGGTACAGTCACAACTTAACTTAGTGAAACTCCGAAAGATGGTGAAAACGACCGAAGATCTAATCATACGTCAGGCACCGAGCGCTAACATCCCAGCCCCCTTCTCCACAGCTCCCACCCTAGACCTCTCGCCGGACCTCACCCCGCTCCCTCCCCGCCCCGTCCGGTGAAGCTCCCTCCCCGCCCCGTGCGGCGGCCTCACCCTGGACGGTGAGCACCAGGAAGGCGGCCCACGGGTAGGCTCCGGGTGCCACCTCCTCTCCTCCGACCACCCGGAGGTCGGCCGCTCGCGCCGGCAGTCGCGCCGGTCGCTGCTGCTGCCGGCCGGCCCTCCCCCGCTGCCGCAGCCGCGGCACGGACCGGCTCTGAGACGTCCCCTGCTCAGATCCGGCCGCGGACGGACCGAGTGGGTCCGATGGAGAGCGGCCGATGGGGTGGGCGTCGGTCACGTGGTACCAGGTGGACAGGTGGGCCGTGTGGACAGGTGGTGTGGACGGCGTGACCGCAGGTCGGCCGGTGGGGCGGTCGGAGCCAGGTGTACTGATTCGGGCTGTCGAGAGCTCGGAGCTGACTGGTGCTGGTGAACTCAGAACGGCGGGAGGCTCGGTGGTCCACCGCGTCACGTTCTTAGCCGACTCCGAGATGAATGATATGCCGCACTCTGAAGGAGGCCGTGGAGCGAGTTAGTTCAGTTGTGACTTTTGACTATAATAAAAAAGAGCGATATTCGGAACTGCTGTGGCTCACTGCCACAGCAGTGAGTCGCGCACCGACGGGGGGGACCGCGACGCGCACCCCCGTCGCGCACCGACGGGGGGGGGGCGGATATCCGCCCCCCTGAGGTTTTTCGCGAATAGCGGGAAAACCGCGGCGCGTACCGCCGCGAAATTTGGTGCGAATATTCTCTCATCAATTTTACACATGTTGTGCAAGTTTGAACCTCCTAACTTTTAAGGTCAGGTCACCAGGTCACTTTGAATGACCCAACCTCAAGTCACTTTTTTGCAACTTTGTCACCGTGCCAGAGCTACAGTAGATGTCGGAGGCCTTTGAAAGTCGCAGGATGTTATTAGGTCATTAGTAGCTACAATTTTTATATCTCGGAATTTTGATCTCGGTGACCTAAGGTCAGGTCAATTTCTCGACCTCCCCATTATAAGTCAACGGGGGAAAAATCAACTCCCTGTTTTTACCACTAAAACGGGTCGGAATGGCCCCATATACCATACATGACTTCATATACGATCAACCTTCACTACCTTGAGGTCTGTTTTGCTGTTGGGCAGCTGTAAGGTCATGTGACGTCATCAAAGGTCACCAAAGGTTTTTTGCCAATAACTCCGTACAGGAACAAGATACAGCCGCGCGGATGGTCTCATTGTGTTCAGCTCGTCAAGACGCATCGAATGATAGGCATGATGACCTCGAGGTCACGTGACCTGAGGTCAACCTTTGACCTTGACCTTTCGAGGTCAACATATATATTATTCGATGTGGATTGACGAGAGGATCACGATGATGCCCTCAGTTTGTTCCTATCTTGACTAATTCGAAAGCTATTCGAGAAAAACTCAATATCGAGCGCCGCCATTTTGACCTTTTTGACCCCTGTGACGTCATCTTTGACCTGACCTGAAAACGACCTTCGTAAAAATTGTAGACCTTGTCCGTGCGTATCCGATGCCGTTTACCGCTTGTCGCTATCCTGCTTCGTTCTCGAGATCTCAGGGGGGGGGGGGGGGCGTCGGTACTAAGTTGGTGCAGACCCCCGTCGGTGCGCGTGTTAATATAAAGCACATTGCACAACTTAACCCGGCAGTTGCTGGGGTATTTCGCCACCCACCGTTTGCTGGGGGGGGGGGGGCGTTAAACGCCCCCAGCCGATACGTCACGGTTGTGCCTTGTGACTTCTTATCTGCTTATTCATGTAGGTATGAGTTATGTAGAAAACAGGCACCAACTTTCTAAGATTAAGCATATTCTACCCTTACTTATTAAAATTGTATACATCTCAACGATGTAAATAACCCGCCATTGCCATCCTGTTCAACATCGTCGTATTCTGCACTAACTAATTATGTGCCTATTATTGGTGACGTCACCGTGCTCTACGCCAATCAGGTGACGGCTGAGGTGACGAGCGAGGCGTGCGGCCGTCAGCTATACGAGAGCCAACAGGATCACCTGAGAGAGGCGGCGGCCGCTCTGCGCGACGTGGCCGGCGCCATCGTGCGCAAACACCGCAAGGAGAACAAATCGACGGTGAGAGCGGAGGCCGGGTAGCGAGAAGGGATGCCGGATCAAGGCTCTGCAGTGACAAGGGTATTAATGGTATGGCAGTTGGACTGCTCGAGTTGTGAAGTATGATGGGCGCAAAATGGCATTAGCATTTGGCACGCGATAAAGCCTCAATTAACAAACAAAGTCGTGAAGTATGGACAGTTAGCACTAACCGCTGTTATCTGAGCGGGGCAGTTAGTGACAATACTGGCAGCTGTGTAAGAACTCGAGGTGCCGATTCATGTGTCAGTAGAACGCTGAGAAGTGAGAACTGTGTCTACCGTAGCGGTTATCCCTCCCGCCCAGTGACGGCTGCCCGGCCCGCGGGCAGGTCTCCCTCGTGGAGTGGGTGTCGCTGTCCACCCAGGCCGGTCGCGGCGCCGCCGGTGACTCGGACGCTCCGGTCAGTGACCTGCTGGCCCTGTTCCTGTTCTTCTGCGAGACGCTCTCGAGCGGCCTGTGCTGGACGCTGCAGCAGCTGGCGCGCCACCAGACGGTGCAGGATGATGTGGTGGCTCAGCTGACGGGAGAGAGGACCGATGACGGGTGAGTGATGAGTGACGCACTCCCGGCAGAGCGAGAGCTGAGGTGGGGTGGGGCGGGGAGCGAGGGCTGAGGAATACCTGCGCTGGCATTTTTGTCCTAGTGCAGGCAGGCCGCAGGACAGGAATTTATTTACGAGGAATAGCATCATCAGATTCATTTCCAAAATATTATCGTTTACTGGGTCTATTGAAATTATGCCGAGGTGTTTCTTGCCCTCACATTGGAAAGCTCCTGTTTTGTGCATATCGGGTCACGCATATGACACCCGCGTTTTCTCGTGGCGTTTTCTCGTCCCGGGCGTTGCGCGTAATGTTTTGTATTTCCATTGCTTTTCCCAGAACTGCCACGTATAACCCCTCCCGTTCTCCCGTTTTCTCAGCCTGGTGGGTCGCGTGCTCCGTGAGTCGTGGCGCCTCGGCTCTGTGGTGCCTCTGACGGCTCGCTGCTACGGTACTCCGGCGGCTGTGGAGGGACACACTCTCCCGGCGCGCACTCCGATCATCAGCGCCTACTGTGTCTCGCACACCGGAGACGGCTGGAAACAGCCCAGCAAGTGAGCGATGCGGCAGGGAGGAGGAAGGGTCGGCGGGGGCAGTCGGGTGGCTTGGAAGACGATGGTTTTATTTAGCGGAATGGTAAATATACATGTACGCGCTGAGGATGTTTTGTATCTGAGGTGAAATTACACTCATGACAGACGATAGGGTTTCTTTATTTAATATTTTACATTGTGTCATTAATATGGAGTGTCACGCGTTTTAATGCGTAACACTTGCAGACGTAGCCATCTTGACCGGTAGTCACAAGCTTGCGTCATTGTGTACGGTAACCTCTGCGGCTCTATCGGGTATATTGGTATATTACTTGGACCTTGTTGTAAGTTTATCTTCATATGCCCACTCTTCTCTTCCCCATGTGACACCCCTCTGTGACCTCCCGGCAGGTTTGACCCGTCTCGGTTCAGCGGCGACACCCCGGCGCTCGAGATGAACCCGCTGCCATTCCTCTCCAAAAATGACGACATCGACTGTGTTATCAGGTGAGACGCAACTGCAGTGTGCCGGTCTGTAATGTATTCGCGCCATATACGCCATAAGACAATATTGCGTCGTGACTATAACGAGTTTCTTCTGGCGTTTGTTTACAAATTTCCTCAGTAACAGGTTTTTCCTGAACTGTTGCAGCACGTATGAGGATCTGGCGACGGAGGTGCTGCGGCAGCTGCTGCCGTCCACCCAGCTGGAGCTGCTACCGGACCAGAGTGACGAGCAGCTCATCACGCTGGTCACCACACCGCGGGAGGACGTGTGGGTGGCCGTCAGCCCCCGCGCCGCCGCCCAGTGACGTCATACTGCAGAGGTACTGTGACGTTACCACACCCCGGGAGGACGTGTGGGTGGCCGTCAGCCCCCGCGCCGCCGCCCAGTGACGTCATACTGCAGAGGTAATGTGACGTCACCACACCGCGGGAGGACGTGTGGGTGGCCGTCAGCCCCCGCGCCGCCGCCCAGTGACGTCACACCACTGAGAGGTACTGTGACGTCATCAGTCAGCTCCCGAACCGCGGAATCATGTCATTGTGACGCGTTTCTGATCTGTCGCCGCTAACGGTAGCCGTGTTAAGGGCACGTCGGTCGTGTAAATCGTGGGAAGGTAGGACATTAGTACTGAACGGCGAAGGAACTGGCTGACCGGGACGGCCGAGTTGGCGGACCGGGCAGGTCTCTGATGGCCCCACTGAATTGGAGTCTTGTAGTGAGCGAGACGGATGACTCCATGACCGGATTGGCTACTTGCAGTAGGCTGGGACTGGACCTGTCGGGGCGGGGTGTGGGGAAGCAGTGTAATGGGTTGACTGGGACTGAGACTGAGACTGATACAGACCGCACTGACTGGGTTCGGTGCCGGGCCGGTCGGGGGTACCTGTGCGTGCTTCCCTGCTGGGAGGACAGCCTGTAGCGAGAGAACATAAAACTGGCACGATCACAGGGTCCCTTAAATGTGCTGCGTTTGTTTTCCAAGCCAGATAGAGCGCAGTGCTGAAGGAGAGCTTTGAAGGTCTTCTATTTTTCCACGTTTGTTGTTGGTTTGCGTTTATTTTTGCTGTGTAGCCTGCACCCTAAAGATGCGTTGCTTATAGCTTAGTGATCATGCGTTTGAAACGCTCCAGTTAGTTGCAGTTATGCTTTTATAAGCCTGGTTTGTAACAGATTGCATATTTTTGTGACGAACATTTAAAATAAAGTGCTGTGAGTTTTATGCGTGTTAAAAAAATGCTTTCTTCGCGCAGGCACTGCACAATAACATTCGCACAAAAGGCCACGCAAGTAGGTAACTGACATTGGGGCAATGCAGCTTCTTCGCTGCTCCTTCGCTGGCCCTACAGTCTGGTCAGAACTGGGAATTGGTAGACATTACTGTTTTCCCAGGTCCTGCGCTCCCGAGCCACGCCCCTAGATGATTCTCTGATGGCCGACAGACCTGTGTTCCAGGACTCGAAGCGCGAAACTGAGTACGACTGTATGCAGATTGCTCTCTGTAGTCCTGTAGAGTCAGTTTGCGGTGCGTTAACTTGAACTTAGTACGGCTGCACGGCGACTCCGGACTGCTCTCTATAGTCCTGGAGAGTCGACTCTTGCCTGAGACTCAGCACGGCTGTATGGCGACTCCGGACTGCTCTCTATAGTTCAGGAGAGTCGACTCGCGTGAAGCTCAGTATGGCTGTATGGCGACTCCCGACTGCTCTCTATAGTCCTGAAGAGTCGACTCTTGCCTGAGACTCAGTACGGCTGTATGGCGACTCCGGACTGCGCCTCGATCCAGTCGAGGTAGGGCGTCACGCGTGTGTAGCCGCTCGGTCGGCCCCGGTCACAGCCGAACGCTGACCCCCAGCTGACCACGCCCACCAGCACGGCGTGACCTTGACCCGAGGTCACCTGCAGCGCGCCGCCAGAGTCGCCCTGCGGTAGGGGCGTGAGGTCAGAGACGGCCGGGCTTGGTCAGAGGAGAGAAAATAAGCGGTGCTGCAGATGAGTGAACGCCAAGCGATGCATGGAACGAGGATCGGACTGTGATCACTGATGCCAGGCTCGTCACCCCCTATCATCTATGAGGGAAACCAATGAATCGAATGCAAGATTGGACAGAGACTGCCCTATCTGCATCAATTCCCCAATCTGTCCTATGTGCCTCATTGCACAATTTTCCTACCTCGGAGCTGCCGCGCCCAACTCACCCCGCAGGAGGAGGTACCCAGTCGGCCGCTGGCGCACATTTTCAGCGGCGTCACCACCACCGGCCAGACCAGCTGGCAGCGACAGTTGGCCATCAGGGGTACCTGAGCCGCCCTCAGACGACCCTTGGAGTCGCCGTCCGTGGCGCCGCCCCCGCCCCAGCCCAGAACTGTGCCCAGCTCGCCGGCAAACGTCTCCGCCACCTGGGGGAAGGAAGGAGAGGCTTAGTTCAGCCACCTGACCGACAGGCGGCGGTGTTAGCGCACCCCGCTGTATCGTCGTCCAGTGCAGTGGACTGTAGTCGAGCGTGAATATTACAAGAGTAATGTGGGTTATGGACACGACAGGAAAATACAACAAGACTCCTTGAACGACATAAGGGAAAAGATAAGTAATACTTAAGTAATACAAAGAGTCACTCTGAAAACGAGTCACTCTGAAATAAGTAATACAAAGAGTCACTCTGAAAACGAGCGTTGTACTTTAAAATAAATAAAGAGCGGGAATATTTCCTCACAGAAGTATATTCTGCATGATCTCGATGTGTCCATAATCCCCAAATGAACGTGTATCGTTTGACCTGCTGTCGGGTGGGCAGGCAGATGGGTCGGACGGCCTCGCTGTATTCAATGGGCCGCTGCAGTCGGAGCAGCGCGATGTCGTGTGTCACAAACCTGGCCGACCAGCCGGGGTGCACCACCGCCTCCGCAGCCGGCACCTAGGCAAAGAAAAATAAAAACTGGAGACACGGGGTGGTCGTGGGGCTGGGAGACAGGCCATCAGTGCGCAGTGCTGAATTTAATCCGGTTATTCGTTCAGGCCAATCCTTACGTGACTCTTGCCCGTTCCTTAGTCGGTGAACTGAGTTCAGGTCAGTATCATGACTTGATGCTGTAATGATTAGCTGACTTCAGACCATCACCTTTACCTGCCCTCTGCAGGTCGTCGTCACGACAGAATCTCGGTTCGCCCTGACTCAAGCCGCCCTCCCAATAACGACCCCTTGCCGCTGCGGACCTGACCTGGACGCTGTGCGGGCCGGGTGCCCGGAGCGAGGTGTACCCCAGCAGAACTGTGGCGGCGTCGGCGCGGTACACGCAGTGGGCGGCGGTCACCAGGTAGCTGCGACTGATGACGGTCGCCCCGCAGATGAACCCTGCCTGGCCTGAAACAGGGCAGAGTTATTCTCACACTGAGACAAAAGGTGCGTGCTGTGTGTTGCTCTGTCATGACTGGTGTATGTCAGGTCAGTAATGAGTTCATTTTTATTAGATTAAAATCATACTCGGATTCATCGGGTATGTCTGACTATCAATAGGTACAGTCACAACTTAACTTAGTGAAACTCCGAAAGATGGTGAAAACGACCGAAGATCTAATCATACGTCAGGCACCGAGCGCTAACATCCCAGCCCCCTTCTCCACAGCTCCCACCCTAGACCTCTCGCCGGACCTCACCCCGCTCCCTCCCCGCCCCGTCCGGTGAAGCTCCCTCCCCGCCCCGTGCGGCGGCCTCACCCTGGACGGTGAGCACCAGGAAGGCGGCCCACGGGTAGGCTCCGGGTGCCACCTCCTCTCCTCCGACCACCCGGAGGTCGGCCGCTCGCGCCGGCAGTCGCGCCGGTCGCTGCTGCTGCCGGCCGGCCCTCCCCCGCTGCCGCAGCCGCGGCACGGACCGGCTCTGAGACGTCCCCTGCTCAGATCCGGCCGCGGACGGACCGAGTGGGTCCGATGGAGAGCGGCCGATGGGGTGGGCGTCGGTCACGTGGTACCAGGTGGACAGGTGGGCCGTGTGGACAGGTGGTGTGGACGGCGTGACCGCAGGTCGGCCGGTGGGGCGGTCGGAGCCAGGTGTACTGATTCGGGCTGTCGAGAGCTCGGAGCTGACTGGTGCTGGTGAACTCAGAACGGCGGGAGGCTCGGTGGTCCACCGCGTCACGTTCTTAGCCGACTCCGAGATGAATGATATGCCGCACTCTGAAGGAGGCCGTGGAGCGAGTTAGTTCAGTTGTGACTTTTGACTATAATAAAAAAGAGCGATATTCGGAACTGCTGTGGCTCACTGCCACAGCAGTGAGTCGCGCACCGACGGGGGGGACCGCGACGCGCACCCCCGTCGCGCACCGACGGGGGGGGGCGGATATCCGCCCCCCTGAGGTTTTTCGCGAATAGCGGGAAAACCGCGGCGCGTACCGCCGCGAAATTTGGTGCGAATATTCTCTCATCAATTTTACACATGTTGTGCAAGTTTGAACCTCCTAACTTTTAAGGTCAGGTCACCAGGTCACTTTGAATGACCCAACCTCAAGTCACTTTTTTGCAACTTTGTCACCGTGCCAGAGCTACAGTAGATGTCGGAGGCCTTTGAAAGTCGCAGGATGTTATTAGGTCATTAGTAGCTACAATTTTTATATCTCGGAATTTTGATCTCGGTGACCTAAGGTCAGGTCAATTTCTCGACCTCCCCATTATAAGTCAACGGGGGAAAAATCAACTCCCTGTTTTTACCACTAAAACGGGTCGGAATGGCCCCATATACCATACATGACTTCATATACGATCAACCTTCACTACCTTGAGGTCTGTTTTGCTGTTGGGCAGCTGTAAGGTCATGTGACGTCATCAAAGGTCACCAAAGGTTTTTTGCCAATAACTCCGTACAGGAACAAGATACAGCCGCGCGGATGGTCTCATTGTGTTCAGCTCGTCAAGACGCATCGAATGATAGGCATGATGACCTCGAGGTCACGTGACCTGAGGTCAACCTTTGACCTTGACCTTTCGAGGTCAACATATATATTATTCGATGTGGATTGACGAGAGGATCACGATGATGCCCTCAGTTTGTTCCTATCTTGACTAATTCGAAAGCTATTCGAGAAAAACTCAATATCGAGCGCCGCCATTTTGACCTTTTTGACCCCTGTGACGTCATCTTTGACCTGACCTGAAAACGACCTTCGTAAAAATTGTAGACCTTGTCCGTGCGTATCCGATGCCGTTTACCGCTTGTCGCTATCCTGCTTCGTTCTCGAGATCTCAGGGGGGGGGGGGGGCGTCGGTACTAAGTTGGTGCAGACCCCCGTCGGTGCGCGTGTTAATATAAAGCACATTGCACAACTTAACCCGGCAGTTGCTGGGGTATTTCGCCACCCACCGTTTGCTGGGGGGGGGGGGGGCGTTAAACGCCCCCAGCCGATAACTCGAGAACCAATAGGCGCAGCGAAACGCACGAGGCGGCAAACGAAAGAGCGCGACGAGACGCTTCAGATGAGTACATTAAAGTTGAATTTTGAGGTCACAGGTCGGGTCAAGGTCAGGTCAAACACCTGAAATCGGGCTTTCAGCAGCATGGACTTCAGGACTTCGCAATGGGCGCCTCTCGTCATAAACTCTGTCAAAACGGTGCACAATCCATCATATAAGGCCTACAATAGTGTCAGCTCCATGTAGGGGTCAGTCAAGCATAGGTCAGGGTCAAGGTCAGGTCAACCGGGTAGGCACATATCCCCGAAAATCAAAACTGATATTCGCAGCCTGTGACACATGTTTTACAGGTAATTTGGGGCGTAGAACACGATGGTGACATTCATTTTATCATATGTGTACGTGTTTGGCTCAAAAAGTTCAATTTAAGAAATGCATGTATCATGGTCGTGAAGTACTCACGAAAAATTGCCAAGATTCAGTTCAAGATTATGGAAAATACGGAACGATAATCAATAATCGAAGATAGCCATTTGATTGTTCATGGTATTGGCAGTCTAATGGCGTTTACGGCATGTCTCTATGTCTATTCTGTGATTTTATATGATTTTTTGAACATATGCCGTTTTTGGTCGAAAACTCAGAAATCATGACGTCACTAAAACCTCGATATCTCAAAAATTTTCCGACCGATTTTTTTGAAACTTTGTCACAATAAACTTCAATCAATTCCCTACAGGTACCCAAAATTTGGCGCGCCTGCGGCGCGCCGTTTTTATGCTATGGCCCGGCGAAAAAAGTGGGGGCATAGGCGGCGGAACGATTTGAGACAAGGGGGGGCACCATGGCTCAAGGAGCCAAACCTAGGGTACCCCCAAATCCTGTTTTCTCATCGGATTTAGGCCACTTATTTTTCGTCACAGCCCTGACACGATGATTTTTTTTTTAATTTTATTTTTTACTAAACGAAAATGGCAGTTCACCCCCGTATGCAGGGGTGTAATTTTATATCTCTTTGTGGGGGCATATGCACCCACAATCCTGAATTATGTATGCCCACACAATGATGAAAATGCACCCACAAGTCTTTTACAAGGCTGCAAGCGTCCTTTCGAGAGTACGGTGCCCTTCGCATGCTCTAACGGCGTCCTCCTGACCGTCTCGCGTTCATGGATAATATAGCGTTTTTAATCACTCGGCGCCCTTCTGGGAGAATGGCGCACTTTTGACAGCACCGCGCCATTCTCATGGTCTAACGGCGCCCTCCTGACCGTCTCTCGTCCTTAGGTCTCTGTTCACCGTGCATCCCTCGACTGTTCGGCGCCCTTCTGGCCTCTCAGCGCCCCTGAACCACATATAGCGTTTTCAATCACTCGGCACCCTTTTACGAGAATGGCGCCCTTTTCATGATCTCAATGCGCCCTCGTAACCATCTGGCGTCCCCACGTCCCCACCAACGTAGCACTACTGACTGTGCGGCGCCCTTCTGGCCTCTTAGCGCCCCTGGACCACATAGCGTTTTCAATCACTCGGCGCCCTCCCAAGAGAATGGCGCCCTTTTCATCGTCTCACGGCGCCCTCGTAAGTCGTAACCGTCTGGTGCCTCCACATTTGGTGCCCCTCCTACTGGATGGCGCCCTCTACAGCTTTTTACGTCCTTCCGGTCAGTTTCCACTTTTAAGCGTGTATTTGCTTAGTCAGACACGTCACTTGAAGCGCCATTCGGCTAGCAATGTTATCAAATTCGGTGTTAATTTAGGCTCCCACATAAAGAATATCTATCGCGCCCCAAAACGGCCTGGCGCCGGGCGCCCCTACAGCTGGGCACCCACAATCATTTTAGGAAAATTACACCCCTGCCCGTATGTGTGGTTAACTTTAAGCTGATCCCCAAGTACCTATGTGTTTGTCTCTTCCTTATTCTCGTTTGATAAATTCCATTAATCCTACATGTAACAAATTACCAAGAAGCCATCGCATGGTACTAATCAGTGGCGAATCCCAGGGTGGAGGTCACATGGGTCATGACTTAGGGCCTGGGGTCACCACATGCCTGCCAGGAGCACCACAGGCCTGACAGCCGACAGGGGCACCGCAGGCCCGCCAGGGGTACCATAGGCCTAGCAGGGGCACCACGGGCCTGTCAGTGGCACCACAGGCCTGTCAGGAGCACCATCGGCCTAGCAAAAGCACTACAGGTCTTCCAGGGGCACCACAGACCTGCCAGGGGCACCAGAGGCCTGCCAGGGGCACTATCGGATTCGCAGGGGAACCACCGGCCTCGCAAGGACACCATGGGCCTGTCAAGGGCACCACAAGCCTGTCGTTGGCAATTTAGGATTGTCAGAGGCACCACAAACCTGTCAAGGGCACCTGCGTTCTAACAGGGGCACCACAAACCTGCCAAGGCCCAGGGACACCACAGGCTTAGCAAGGACACCACAGGCCTGTCAGGGCCCATGGGCACCTAAGTCATGTCAGGGCCCACCGTAGGCTTGTCAGGGGGCAGGGTAGGTAGGTACCACAGTCTTTCCAGGGGCATCAGCGGCCTAGCAGGTGCAGGGGCACCAGTCATCACATGACTAACCAAAAATAAAGAAAATAAAAAAAAAACTGAAAATAGGGCACCACCAAAATTAAGTGGCCGAAATCCGTTGAGGTTTTAATTTTGGGCATAGGTAGGGGCACCACTTCGATTCATGGCCCTCCCCTTGGAGTTTTCCCCGAATCTGCCCCTAGTACCTACTAATACATCAAATTTAAGGGGGGGCACCTTGCTATTGGTGCCCCCATTGCAGAATTCAAGGGGGGGCACGGTGCCCCGGTGCCCCCCCCCCCGTTCCGCCGCCTATGAGTGGGGGCGTTTAACGCCCCCCCCCCCCCAGCAACTCGCGGGTTAAACATATGGTAGGTGTAACCAAAGTTAAAAAGTATAAAGTAACAAAAACTATATTCCTTTCTATGACGCCTGTGATGTTTCTTCAATACGCCTTTCTTTCCTGAAGTCAAACCGTTAGACCTAAGACCAGACATTCGTATTAGAGGTGGCAAAATGTGGACCCGAGGACCCGGTCCAAAGAACCAGTCTGGACCCATATGGGTCCAGACCGGTTCCAGGAAATTTTCTGTCGGGTCCAACCGGGTCCTTCCATAAACTATACATATTGCACACTACACATTATTGCAAAATATGAAGTGAATGAAGTGAATGTTTCTTTGCACACAATAGCTCCTGAGTATTCCCAGTGGGAAATAGGCTGTTTTACTTGATGCAACTAACGATACCTACAAGTAGTTTGTATTAATTGACTTTTGGGGAACGGGTCCAACTGGTTCCGATTCCAACTAAGACCGGGTCTGACTGGTTCCAGAAATATCCAGCCGGGTCTGGTTCGAGTCTGGTTCCCAAAATTTTCATCTTTTGCCACCTCTAATTCGTATGCATTGCATGTTCTAACGTTCATGCTCAATTTGAATACCTACTCAATAAAATTAACGTTAAAGTCACCACCCCACCTTAACATTAGATCAAAGTTGCAGCACTTGGATTATGTTTATATTTTTGTTCACGTGAAGTCGCTGGCTTGGTGTTGAATGAAGTGCCTTACGTGCCTAACTGCCTAAGTTAAGATTTTTAACGAAAAAAAAAAAACGTAAACCCAGTGAAGTTAGAGGAAGTGAGGAAGTATCTAAACGATAGATTAATAAGCGATCTGAAGGAGCGGCGTTTCCCACCTCTACAGCAGATGGTGCGATCGCCGCCCCCGCGCTGCGAGACAGACGCCTGGCAGCTGAAGCCTCGTCTCTGGAACAGGCCATCGGAGGAGAACTGAATATACACCGGTTCGCCCGGCTTACCCTGCCGACGGATCACATATTATCAGCGCGGACAGCACACTTAGCCGCTCTCCCAGCCGAAATCCCTGGCGGCAGAGCAGAGCACGCAGCTGGAGAACGTATATCCTAGGTCACAGCCCACCGCTAAAGTAATGTGTGGTTTTACCAATCTCAACGGATGGCTTTGACCGACGATTTTTAAATGCGGACTGATTGAAAAGAAGACGTCAATAGATAAAGTTGTAGCTGCAAGGGTGAAGATACATGTAAGCTACATTTAAAGTCTCGTTGCAGTCTGGCTAATCGTTCCTAGGCATCAGAAGCAGAACATACCCATGACTGAAACCACACATTACTTCTGCAGTGGACTGTACGTTCTCAGATGGCGACGTCCATATGAAGGAACAATTTTACGGGAGGTGTTCAATATGCAACTTCCTATAGTTTGATCTTTGGAGACGATGCTAAGAGGATCTGTGGCCCAGTCATCCGGCACTATTACAAGGGCATTTTCATCCAAACCCTAAACGTCAGTAAGGTTTGAATTCAGGGCAGCTTGCACTTTTTTCGCACACATTAGGGGAAGTTGGGGGAACGCCGAATACTTTTTTTCTGACGCCCGTAGCACGCAAGGTAGACAACATAAGCTATTCTTGTTGGCGTCATTCGAGAGGCCAGTCTTTTGCCTTTCAAACATACCAGGCGCATTTGATGAATTCGCATACCGTTAAGCGCACAAACTAAAAATATCAAAGAAGTGACTTTTTCGGCGTTGCCCCGGACTGCGGGGAAAGCCGAAAATGGGAGAAATGATCTACGGGGAATGCCGACATTGATGTTTTGCCACTTTATCTCAAACTTTATCCAGAATTTATCAAAGCTGACACGCGTTTTAAGAGTTTGAGGACGCTTGGTGCACACTGGAAGTTATAATTGTGTGATATAATAAGAAAATGCCAGGTAAATAATTCCTTATAGGTAACAGGCCGTTGTGTCGGTTGAAAGTGTAATTTGTGTGACTAAAAATTCGCGTTGCTATTCTACAGCAGATAAGTCCACGTAGCGTGCTTTAACGTGCGTAATTACACGTTTTCGGCATTACCCCAGCCAGCCATACTTTCATTTGCAGGCCCATAACTTTTCAACGTGCCGTATAAATTTCAAATAGGCAGCACACTTATGCAAAGACATGCTGAAGATTACTTGACCGAATTGGCCAGACAAACGGTAGCATAATGAGTAAGAAATGCAGCTTCAAAGGCGCATGTAGTACAAGGAACGCGTACCTTGAAAACGCTCTTGGCGCCCTCACAGCCGAAGTATTCCGAATGACGACTTGTAACAAACATGCGATAATTGTAGTCACTTAAGCTTCAGAGCATCACTGAAAGGTGGCATCCATGTCTTACGGTTTTCGAAATATCTCGAATTTCGGCTTTGCCCCAACTCCGGCATTGCCCCAACTTCCCCTACTCTTAGTGACTACATAGTGTGAATTAGCCTCACGAGTCCTGGAACATGTAATAGGGTCGATCTAAGCTGCTTCATATAAATAACATGGACGTTTTGTTGCAGCAAACCTGCATACGGCACCAACTTATAAAGGTTTTATTTGTCGGATTTCACAGACTGGCCCCAGGCAACTTTTATGCAAACTGGTGTCCCGCAGCTCAATTCAAATTGCGTCGCTCTATAGCCTTTGTGTAAATCTGCACCTTTATTCAACTAAAAACCGTAACAAATCATACAGCAGTCGAGCGTATATGGCAACCACATAATACATACCAGCCGCCATTTCCTAGCCCGATTTTCGGATCGTGAAACGGCTCCTACGGGACTAGGTAAACGGGCAGGAAGCTTGACGATAAAAAATAGCTGTGTATGCATGTGTATGCACCTACATACGACTAACTAATCAAATATGCCTACCGAAAATGCAAAAATACTATACCTAACTTATACAATGCAGCAAAATAAATATATATTATTTTGTACACAGCATGCACTAATCACGTGTACAGAAAGGTTAGAACTTGCATTGATAGCGCGGTTTTACCAGGCACTTTACAGACGTCAGTCAAATGTCTCGGGTGCAGACGTCTTAGGCGCTGTTGACGCCTCGGACGAGTGTCGGCACACGTCACACGTGACTGCAGAGACACATGTCTCCCAATCAGACGGCAGACCGGCGAGGGGCCTGGGAGGGGGACGCCAGAGGTGATACCATGGGCACGTGACCGTATCGGGTTGTAAAATGGCAAGTACCACTACCAGACGTAAGCCTGTGATTTGTGGCTTAGTGGCATCAGCTCTCGAGCAGGTATAGCTAATCAGTGGGCGAAATATAAAAATAAGAAATAAGAACCAGCCGCCCATCGATCCTTGGATACCGAAACACAATGCTAACGAGTATCGAAACGCATTATAGTGTGCCGGCCCGGGCAAATAGCATTCGGTAATCGGTATGCACTTGTTTTGACGTTCAGGTTCGGTGTTTGCTCTGAAAGCATGAGAAATACCATAAGGTACGCGCTGACCGACCGACCTCCGCAGCGACTGACATGAGCACTGCACCGATATCACCGGAAAACCCCTATCATAAACACTGGGACGGAGCGACTGTCAACACCATGTCCAGCGGCTGACCGCATTCCGGGCTGCCAACGAGCACCAGACATTGAGTCAGCCACTAACTGTCATCAACAATCAGCGAGCGGACATCGAAAGGCACGGCGGGGAATCCTTCTCCACTAAACAACTGGCTCAATTTACATAAACAGAAGGTACTCGAGTGAACGAATCTGCAGGGTGACCTCAACATATGGACACAAGACATATTCCAGCACAAACAAAACCGCCCCTTGCACGATGACAGGCATCCAAAATATGTAGGTTCCTACAGGATCGACACATCTGGATAACAGAACTGAGCCAAATAATTACCCTTCCTCTAATCAGGGTAGGGGAAGTTGGGGCAATGCCGGAGTTGGGGCAAAGCCGAAATTCGAGATATTTCGAAAACCGTAAGACATGGATGCCACCTGTCAGTGATGCTCTGAAGCTTAAGTGACTACAATTATCGCATGTTTGTTACGAGTCGTCATTCGGAATACTTCGGCTGTGAGGGCGCCAAGAGCGTTTTCAAGGTACGCGTTTCTTGTACTACATGCGCCTTTGAAGCTGCATTTCTTACTCATTATGCTACCGTTTGTCTGGCCATTTCGGTCAAGTAATCTTCAGCATGTCTTTGCATAAGTGTGCTGCCTATTTGAAATTTATACGGCACGTTGAAAAGTTATGGGCCTGCAAATGAAAGTATGGCTGGCTGGGGTAATGCCGAAAACGTGCAATTACGCACGTTAAAGCACGCTACTTGGACTTTACTGCTGTAGAATAGCAACGCGAATTTTTAGTCACACAAATTACACTTTCAACCGACACAACGGCCTGTTACCTATAAGGAATTATTTACCTGGCATTTTCTTTTTATATCACACAATTATTCCAGTTTTTATATCACACACAATAACTTCCAGTGTGCACCAAGCGTCCTCAAGCTCTTAAAACGCGTGTCAGCTTTGATAAATTCTGGATAAAGTTTGAGATAAAGTGGCAAAACATCAATGTCGGCATTCCCCGTAGATCATTTCTTCCATTTTCGGCTTTCCCCGCAGTCCGGGGCAACGCCGAAAAAGTCACTTCTTTGATATTTTTAGTTTGTGCGCTTAACGGTACCGTAAAGTGGGGCTATTTGAGACAGTGGGGCTATTTGAGACAGCAAGGCAATGGTATAGTAAAATCGCTGTAAAATGAAAACTGTTTGATGTTTTTTCGTCATTTTTGCTTAGGCTGATGTGGAATTGAACAATGAATGCTCTGAATAACCTTTTTGAAAATTTCGAAAAGTTCTGAAAGAAATTTGCAATAAAATACGAAATACAGAAAAACGCACAATTTAAGTTGCTCGAAAAGGACCCCTACCTGCAACTTAAAAAAGGTGAAGTTTTAACAGCTTCGCCACTGTATCTATCGCTACTACCTTTTTGCTTATAGGTTAAGCACATTTTTCATGAAAAAATTATATATTGTTAACGGTACTGCCGATTGCGTAACCCATTGTCTCAGAATCCCGATGATGCCCACCTGGTCAAACCTCAACGGATATGCCAAATAGCTGATGATAACGGTGATGCGATGCACCCGAGAAGACTTGCCGCCATCTACCTGAAGTGCATCGACCGTTCGACATGAGCAACACCGGTGAATCGGTCGTGGTCATAAACGTGCAGTGGGTTCATGGTAGGTAATTTAAGCAGCAAGCAATATTTACATGTTCGTAGTGTAACATAATAACCCTTTAGCTGGTGACCAAACTAATTATTCTGATGAATATGTGCTTAAAATGTGCTTCATCAGTCACTGACTCATTCGACAATCAACATAGTTATATCTACCTTGGTTGACCAAAAAACACCATCGAATGTTACTTAACACATGAACGTACTGTTAGGTGAGCCTATCCAAGTACTTGATGTGGTAGGGTAACCGGCCAATTGATGCGGCATGCAGCGATCGAGGAAAATCGGCATAAAATCAAAACCGTTTAACATTTTTCTGTTATTTCTTCGCATGGAGATGTACAATGGAACAAACAATCATGCAGACCATTCACTCAAATGTTTTGGGAAACCTTTTGCCTTGTTTGATTCATTACAGTGTGCTTCATAAGGTAGCGAGACTGTCTCAAATAGCCCCACCGACTTTCGGTATATCTGTTTTCACGTCACCGGGGCTATATACAAAAACTTACTGTCAAAATTTTACTGTCGATGACTTTAAAATGGTCCTTGATGATCATCCCGTCAGTTTGAAAGCTATGGGTCACACCATATTATGATAGCCTTAGCATATAGTGATGCAATTTTATACCCTACCGAAATGAAGTGTCCTACGAAAAAGGAAAAGATTGAATATAAAAGTCATATAACAGTCTTTGAAAAAAACAACTTATGCCAAAATGATCAAAATTCAATTTCCAAATGCATGGCGTTTGAAAAATTATCTCTAGCGTGACCGATTTTCTTTAATTTCCTTGCAACTAAAACTGTCTCAAATAGCCCCACCCTATGGGGCTATTTGAGACAGGCTTTAACATAAAAAATAACCTCAGTCATTGTTACTAGCTGAACCAAAATACACCTATATGAAAGAGCTCACAGAGAACTACATTTTTGCAATTTACATGCTATAAGAAATATGAGCCGTCTTAAAGGGAGAGGCAAAAAACTGTAAAATCCGTTTCAAATAGCCCCACTTTACGGTATGCGAATTCATCAAATGCGCCTGGTATGTTTGAAAGGCAAAAGACTGGCCTCTCGAATGACGCCAACAAGAATAGCTTATGTTGTCTACCTTGCGTGCTACGGGCGTCAGAAAAAAAGTATTCGGCGTTCCCCCAACTTCCCCTAATACTATGAGGCCCAAGGCCATGAGGCCCACCCCTTGAAAGACGATACCAATGCAGCAGCAACTCACATGACATGACAGCTTGAAATTCATTTATATTCACATTTAACATTTAATAGCTGTAGCGTAGAGAGGTTTTCATTTCCGATGAATACGAATAATTATACGAATAAAAGTAAGTTTAATAAACGGCATTCAAGGATATAGCAAGGATTTTTAAATCTGGTCTTTACGCCACTAATACCCATGCACGGTACAGTTACCTTCTTGTGCATTAATGACGGTGCACCTGCATTCTGCAAGGATGTAGCGATCGGAGCTCCCTGACTGCAATATGAGCTGAACGGCAACTGTGCCTGCCGTCAGCTGTATTGTGTTAATCACTTCCATCATGCACGTGCATCCTGAGCTGCCTGACCCTCCCTCACCTGGTATTTTGAGCCCCCTCCCTCCGCTCTTGAGCCCCCTCCCCTCCCTCACTCAATTGTGAGTTCCTCTCTCTTATCCCCATTATTATGACCTCCCATCAGTCCCCTTTATTTTGAGCCCAACCCCCCCCCCCTCCCCCATCACCTGTATTGTGAGCGGCACGTCAGCGCAGTGCAGTAGGTCTCTGTACTGGATCAGCCGGCTCCGGCCCGAGGTGCGCACGCGCAGATAATCCCCCACACGCACACCGAGCCGAAATCCGGCCAGGTCCACGTCCGTGCACACCAGCCGGATGACGTCACTGGGTCGGGACGGCTGCAGCCGCCACGAGCAACGCTGTTGGATTAGTCAGAAAGGTAGTGACGTCACTGGCGACGCCGACGAGAGCTGGCTGGGTAGGCAACCCGCAAAGCACCCTTGTCTGGCGGGTTAGCCTGCCTACCTGCATCGACATTTTATTAGTGGAAGACAACTGTAACGGACAACGGTCTCCAGGGACCGCGGATTCCGGGGGGGCAGGGTGTGCAATTGCACACCCTGAAAATCCTGAGGGTGTGCAAACACCTATTTTTGCACACCCACAGTTCGTTGTGGGGGCCCATGCGGCCCTGGCGCTTGAGTGTCCCAAGCCGATTCTCCAGGGCCCCAGCGCGAGCCTGATGGTCTCGCACCGGTGCCTGAAGGCGTGAACAGGTTCTAGTGTTATCTCAGGGGTTATCTCAGAACCCCAACCACGCCATTTTTTAGCGCTCCCACCGGCTCTTGAGGGCCCAGGCCGATGCCCAAGGGTCCCAAGTCGATGTCTAAAGGTCCCACGCCGGTGTCTGAGTACCTACATTGCTAGCTCAGGGATCCACGCCAGTTTCTGAGGGCCCTAACCGGCTCTTGAGGGCCCCTGCCCCCTGCCCTCCTTAACCCCCTCTTGGGGCCGATGCCTAAGGGTCCCGCATCAGCACCTGAAAGCCCACAGAGTTATCTCAGGGCCCCATACCAGTTTCTGAAGGCCCTCACCGGCTCTAGAGGGGCCCCAGACCGATATCCAAGGACCTCTGGCCAATGCCCGGGGGCGCAGGCCGATGCCCGAGGGCCCCAAGCCGTTACCCGAGGGCCTTACACAGCTATCTCAGGGTATAATGCCACTTTCCGAGGGCCCTAACCGGCTCTTGAGGGCCCCAGGCCGATTCCTGAGATCCCCAGGCTGATGTGAGAGGGCCGACCGACTGAGGCGGCCCCTACGTCAGTTTCTAAGGGCGTCCACGACCGCCGTCTGGTCAAAGCTGATCTCTGAGGGCCATACGCAGGTTTTTAAGTGCACTCAGCCCTTTTTTAGGATCTCACACCGACCTCAGATCGGATGGCTTATGCATGCCGCAGAGGAGCCCTTACCGGCTCCTGAGGGCTCCTTGCTGATAGTTGAGGGCCCCATGCCAATACTCGAGAGTCCCATTCAGTAATCTCAGCGCCCTACACCAGTTTGAGGAACGCCGTTCGGCCAAGGCTGACCTCCGAGGAAAAGCCCTTTGCAAGCCTCGGAGTGCCCTCACTTTCTTTTTTATGATCTCACACCAATCTCTGAAGTCGCAGGGCTAAAGGATGCTTCTGATAACCCTCACTAGCTCAGACCCAAATCGATGCATGATGACCCGACAGAAGTGCCTGAGTAGCCCACACAGTAATATCAGGGCTCACACCAGTTTCTGAGGGCCTACACGAACGCTTCTTGGCCAAGGTCGATGTCTCGGGGCCCTATTCAGGCATCGAGGCTACTCGGGCGCCAAGAGACGGTGGGGGACCTCCAGGCGAGCTTGCTTGGTAGTAGTTGGTACCCCATGGAGCCGGCGAACGGTGTCAAAGAGCCCGGTGTGGGGGCCCAAGAAGCGGCGTGGGCATCCATATTTCTATGTACATGAGGTATTCCAGAGGCCGTTATGGCACCTTCAAAAACCGTGTGCGGTGCGTCGGTGACCCTTAGAATTGCCGGCTTTGGGTCTCAGGAGCTGGCGTGCGGCCTTTATGGGGCCCCAAAGCCAGCGTGTGGGCCGTAGAGCAATGGGGAAGCTAAGGGGGCCGGAGGCCAGACCCCCATAGGTCATAGGGGCCAAATCGATGAGCCCAAACATCCCGCCGGCCGTGTTTTATTTTTAAACTAATTCATGTAGTCCATGATAAAAAGAAGTGTGCCAACATCAACTGTGCAAAAGGGCTCTCTGAGGCCCGTAGGGGCCCTTGAAGGTCACTGTAAGCCTTTAGGGGCCTGCTTGGGAAAATCGGAGATCGATTTGGATCACGTTGCATGCATGCATGTGCATTTACTCTGCTCATGCATCTCCTGACCGTAAGATGCTCGCTCAGTCATCTTACGACCGTCAATTTTGAAGGTTTTCCCGCCCCGCTTCCTTAGAACCGGCTTATTCCGGAGCAGTGGCGGCGCTGACTTTTTGGAAGGGGCCCGGCGTGAGATGGGGGCCCAATCGCCACATCTTGCACACCCTACGAGAATTTGAATCCGCGGTCCCTGACGGTCTCCTCTTTCTATTCTCTATTTAATTGTATCGTCGTGCAGAGGCGGATCCAGCTCAGAGTTTTTTTTTGGGGGGGGGGGGGCAAACCATAACAATTTATCGATTCTTTCCATGCATCGTCCATAGGCGTAGTGTTAAAAGTATGCCGTTTGGGGGGGGGGGCAAATGCCCATTTTGCCCCCCCCCCCTGGATCCGCCACTGTCGTCGTGGACACTGAACGTGGAATGAGCATGTGAAGCCTGACTGAGGACTGAATCAGTAAGTAAGCTCTGACGAATGTGCACATGATCTGAGCACTCACACCATTTGAAACAGTTTTAATTTTAATCACAACCGTTCTGACGTGATAACTCCATAACATATAAGCTATAAGTTATAATCCCAACACGACGGGATTCACAATCACAACGAAGCATCTCTTAATCAGTTGGCGAAAACTCAAAACGCTCGGCGCATGTCGTGCCTGTCTCTAAAAACACTGCCCTAGCCAACTCTTCCTTCCATAAAAATCTTAGCCAACTCTTCCCTGCCGCTCACGTTCGACACAGCGGGACATTGATCTGGCTCTCCCACGCGTGAGAACCGAAGCAGGGAGGCGGCGCCTGCTCTACAGCATCGCCCAACCAATTATATAATCGCCTGCCCCGTGATTTTAGGAGCCTATCTATGGAAAGTTTTCAGCGCTCCGTTTCCGAGTGGTGTTAACGTAGGTATTTAGGGATGAGTGAATGGTTCGATGTTTGCTGAGTGCTGTGAGTTGTGTGCATTTTAACCCGTTTTTCCTTTTAACTCAGACGCGACACTCAGAATAGCCATTTTAATATGGAGTGTTTTAATTGTCAATTCAAATACAAATACAAACACTGCACCACGACTGACCTGTCGGCGTGCGTGATCGGCCGGGTAGCCGGGAGAAGTAATCACCACCGGACGGCCGGGCTGCACCAACTGCCGCCTGGTGCCGCAGTCGGTGGTGTTGCGTGAAGCCGCAGCCAGGGACGGCACCACCAGCACCAGCACCAGCACCAGCGGCACACATCTGCCGCACCAGCGCATCCCGGCAGGCCAAGGCTGGGCCGGAGGACGCTTGCAATCTGAACGGTAAGAATGACTTTTGTACCTACTTATTATTTTAGATGAACAACTACAGAGTACAGACTTAAAACCTGAAGACCTCATTAAACCATATATAGATGCAAGGCTGCTGGTGCCATCGCCAAGTAAACAGCTTCATGAATACCTACAGCCTGACTGCCATCAACCATCGGCTCACTACGTACTTTTTTTTTTTGACAAAACTGAGAGTAGGTCGCAGGCACCAATAGAGCTTACCAGTATGTGCATTCCGACAAACGGGCTTTAATTGTTCGAGTGAATACGCCATTGATCCCCACTAGAGGACGATAATGTAGGTACATGCTCATCAGAAGTGAGTGTAAACTTGTTAAGAAGCAATTCTGTGACTTGTGAGTGTGAAAGACAATCAAAGCTGCAATCACGGCAAGAGCAGACACCACAAAGCCTTTTGACGGGTTAATAATGCAAGCCTATATTGTGTAGACGGTTGAAGTGGGCAAATGTTTGCCAATTGCCATCGGTCGTCAGGACAAGCATTGAGCAGATAGGGTCACCAGCACTTGATCGGTGGAAACTTCCGTGCTGACACAGATGCACCAAACAGCCAATGTTTTAAACCCTGCAAGTGCCTTGTTAGGTCAGATACATGAACCACATGTTTTTGTTAGTTTGTATATTAACAGATTATAAAGTTGGAGCTTTGAAATTATATCAGGAAACACAGCACCACCAAAACTACTTGATAAATGTTCAAATGATTGCTAAATTTGAATTCAGCTCCAAAAAAATAGCTTGGAAACATCAGGGGCGGATCCAGAAAATCTCCAAGGGAGGGGCCATTAGAAACCAGGAGGCCCCCCCCCCCCCATAATCCCACCTGTTGGAGGCCCCATCTTCCCACTTGTTGGGCCCCCCCCAAAAAAAAATAACTGCGTCTATTGAGCTTATCTAGCTGTTCAGGCAACATCTCAACATCTGTGCAGGCTTGGAGGCCCTCTGTGCAGGTTAGGAGGCCCTGTAAAAGTGGTCATCTCTGTGAGTATAAGAGACCTCCAAGTTATGAAAAGCTTTACCAATCTTCTAACAAAGACGTTTTCTCAGGTAGTCTTCTAAGAAATAACTAAGTGGGTATGTTAAAAAAAAACTCATCGGATTTCGGCCACTTTATTTTCAGGAGGCCCCCTTTTCAGCTTTTTAACTTTTTAACTATTTATTTTATTTTTGAAAAAAAATCGGCCAAGGGGGGGGCCATGGCCCCCATGGCCCCCCCCTTGTATCCGCGCCTGGGAAACATTATAAAACCGAATTAGTGAACCGAGGTCATCAAAGGTCAATGACGTGAGCTGACCTTCAGGTGACCTTAACACCCATCCTAATGCATGGCAGCAACATCATATCACATGTATGAAAACTTGAAACCACGAAAAGACTGCAAACGCGCGGCTAATGCGAGCCGACATATGTACATACGCCGAATCGCGATTCCGACCAAACATGGTCTCGAAAAGTAGATCACAGGTCAAAGGTCAATTGAGTCAGGGTCATGACATTTTCAGGGTAGGTGTAAAATTGATAATGCGAGGGTACTGAAGGTTTCGTCGGGATCGGCCGCTTTTTACGCGAGTTATTCGCGAAAAACCGGGGGGGGGGGTCCGTTCGCCCCCCCCCCCCTATACGGGCGCATGGTTTGAGGAATACAAATACCTGAGTTTGGGTGGCTGCAGTAATAGTTGATGGCTTAGCCGAATGTGACGGCGAACGGTAGGCACAGATTCCCGTCGCCTGACTCAATGGATCACAAAACTTCGTCAAACAGGCAGTTCACTGCAATGAAACAACTTCTGGTGATCGCAAGCTGCACGTAGCCACCACTGCTACGAATGTGTTTGACGGACGCAGAATTACCACACTGGGACAGTCACTTTCAGCCAGTGACAGCGACACCCTGTCCGTCCAATGCGACGGACGGTGGTGCACCCCTCCCCCGCCGCCGCACTGGCCGAGGTAGGGTGAAGCGATGACCGTGATGACGCACGCTCTTCACACCTTTCAACGGGATCGGCCGTCGACGCTCCACACACGGCCGTTACGCTACGGTTGACGTAGCCGACCCAAAGAGAACAACTAACTACAATAACGCTCCACAGGCACACACCCTTCCACGAGGTCAGCTGTCAGAAAATAATGAAGGCAACTTTTGAGAACGACTCTCTAAATACAGAACGCCAGACCCCGTCACACGCCGCTCGTACCGTTGGAGACCATGACGCGCCTGGGCCAGACAAACACGATGGTGCCAAAATCGCGGCTCTGCGACCATTTTTGACCAAGCTATTTACCAAAAACCGAACCCGTGCCCTGGGCCACTTGACCTGACCTGAGAGGTCTCTGGTTGACCTGACCTTAAAATCGGGTATTCGCTGCGGCTCGTAACGGCACACAGTCACACGCTCGTTATTTCTTCCGCAATGCTCTTAGGTCCATCAGGAGCGAAACGCCGAAGGGGTCCTTACAACCCCCTCGACCGTATGTAGAAAACCGATAGGTCCGGCGGGGTTAAAGCCAGATTGGTGCCAAAAGTTGGCTCTGGTCCCTACTGAAAAGAAAGCCATAGTTTAAACTTTTTATAGCGTAACTTCAAACATTGGTAAAGAAGGTAAAGGTACTTGGGCGCAAAATGAACTTAGTGTCGGCGCGCCCTAAAGCCCCAATCAACAAACAAGGTAAAGGCATCAATCGCGGTCCACGGGTTATTGGTCACCAACTCGGCTAAGAAAAGGTGAAGGTACACTCGGGGGCAGATTGGTGTTCCACCACTCCCTACCCATCGGCGCAGCACTGCAGTGCTGCGCAGCAGCCATGGCTGCTGCCAGTGGCAGCCAGGGGCGTAGGCAGGGGGGGGCCACTGGGCCATGGCCCCCCCCCTTGGGCGCCGAAGGCGCCCTTTGCGATTGGAGGGCGCCGAAGGCGCCCTCCAATCGCAAATGCAATTGTGATATAATCGAATCGAAAAACAATCGCGACTGGAGGGCGCCCTCCAATCGCGAATGTGTTTACAGGGAAAATACGGATGGAGGGCGCCCTCGGAGGACGCCCATTCCAAATACGCCCTCCAAATACGGTTGGAGGGCTCCCTCGGGCGCCCTCCAACCACATTTGTAGGCTGTAGCTCTCTAAGCGTAACGGTGGTCGCCTATGTAAGCCGCTGTCCCGTAAATAAGCGCCCTCTCACCCGAAGGCGCCCTCCTGTAGGTCGCCACCCTGCTATCATATTGCTACATATTGCCGCCCTTCTGCTGATTGGCGTCTTCATAATTATTGGCGCTCTCCTACCTATTGCCCCCTCATGTGAAATTTTCAAGGCCGCCTTTCTCCTTTTTGGCACCCTATTGTTCAGTGCCGCCCTCCTACCTATTGGTTCCCTAGTCCTTCCTGTTGAATGTTAATCGGGGCCCTTCTCTTATTGGCGCCCTCGTGTTGATCGCCGCCCTCCTAACCACTGGCACCCTCCTGTTGATCACCGCCCTCCTATCCACTGGTACCTGCCTGTTGACCAGCGCCCTCCGCACAGACGCCCTCCTGTTCGTGTCATCCTCTTGAGCAAAGGCGCCCTCCTCACCATTGCCACCCCCATTTTAATCGTCACCCTTCCGCTCATTAACGACTTCCAGTTGATGACCGCCCTCCCACCTATTGGCGACCTCTTGTTGATCGCCACCCTCCTATTGGTGCTCTCCTGTTCCTCGCCACCCTCTTACCTGGTGGCGCCCTCCTGTTGATTGTTGATCGGGGCCCTCCTACCTATTGGTGCCCTCCTGTTGATCGCTGCCCTTCTATCCATTGGCGCCCTCCTGCTGCTCGCCAACTTCCTACCTATCGGTGCCCTACTATCGAAACTCGGGATGTTGATCGGGGCTCTCCTACCTATTAGCGCCCTCCTGTGGATCGCAGCCCTTCTACCTATTGGCAACATCCGTTGATCGCTGCCCTCTTATCATTTATTTACTCCTTTGGCATGTTTTTCAACTTAGTCGTTCTATTGCACATAGTTGGTGTCTTGCCTGTGAAAACTGCCACAAATGAACGTGCATTCAGCACAATGAATGAAGTACCTATACCTACCAAAACTATCTACGCTCTACGATGCATAAAACACGTCTTTGGTCACGGATTGATCACACGGATTGATCCTACTTTACGTGCATCATGGCATCTATATGGATTACGATTAAGTATTGTCAACAGGTTCGGCCGCAACAGCAGGCATCTGAAGTTTCGGTGATTGAAACTGGTTATGTGGGTACACTGTATGCATCTGTGAGAAGGCTATGAAGGCTGGTCTGAGGTAATTTGGATGATGTTTACGCATCTCGCGCTCCGGTATCAATCCGATACGGTGATCTGGTGCGTAGATATGCCACCGCCAATAAACTTTTATACATCGACACCCATGAGCCAAGCTTTCTATACAGTTTGTGTGGCAGCGGCCCGACCAAACCTTAGGTATTTTTTACACCTTCAAATTTGGTAAAAGAGCGAGAGGAGCTTTGAACGGTGATCGTATAAAAGGCGTGCCTAAAAAGCGGAGGAAAAGGTTGTTTTCAAAAATTTCGCGCGCCTTCGGCGCAGCATTTCAAGAACACTTGACCTTTTGTGACCTGGAGTATAAAGAATACACACGATGCAAAATCAATGCAGCACGACCTATACGAGGTTACGCAAAAAAATAACTGGTGGCATGGTAAAAAACGCCTCCCAACCCCCCCCCCCCCCACCCCGCTGAGCGATTTTTTATCTCGCGACCGTATGGCGCCCTCCTTGGGTGAGGTGGCGCCCTCCAAACCCTTGGCCCCCCCCTTCGCGATTTTCTAAATACGCCGCTGGTGGCAGCACCGGCAGCACTGGCATTGGCAGGCAGTGCTGAGCACTGAGCAGTGCTGAGGGCAGGCAACATTGGCAGCAGCCAGTGTTGAGCGATGGGAGCCCGATGGGTAGGGAGTGGTGGAACATCAATCTGCCCCCGAGTGTAAGTACATAATAAATACTTCGTATGTACAAAAATCAAGACGCTAGACACATCATACATTTTTCTGGGTACATTCAATGGCTAAGGTTTAGATATTCATTCCTACAATTTCGATTGCTGAATTAATTAATGAAATAAAATACATCCCACGCTCAGACAATATCCTCCTATCGTTCGGCAGTTTATTATACCACGACCAATTTCCCGCGCGTCATTTTAGTATGCGTGCACCCGGTACTAATTCAAGTGTCAGTTCTTGCGACTCTCGAAATATTGGAGCTATCTGAGCCATAACCTCCAGCAATGCGGGCAGCAAATCACATTATATCCCACTATAAAAGGTGCGTCTGACCTTTCAAGGCCAAACAGCAGACGTCTCATGTCAGTGTCAGTGGCGCGCGTCCCCATCGCCGGTGGCGGGCCCCTAATGCCTCTAATACCCGACATATACACGGTCGCCCTCCTCCCCAGCGAGGGAGGACTAAAGATAACCGACACTATCGCGGGGGAGCGGCTGCCGAGCCCCCGGAACGCCCCCGAACGGTATTCCGGCGCCGACCGCGGGGCTAAACAGACGCGCACCCCGCGTCCGATCAGGTGAGCCATGGATCGGCCGGTGTAGGTCAACACGGCGCGCTAACACACCGGTCGGCGGCCGGCCGGCGGGCAGCGGCGCTGGTCGACCTCTCTGCTTCTCAAACAGATTGACGTCGCGCATTTTCCAAAAAAGAAGATATCTTTTTATTTTGCCGGATACCGATACTATCTTAACCAGTATAACGCCTTTTGGGGCGAGTAACGGAGCGAGCGAGAGGGTGAGCCTTGCACGTGCGAAATTTCGAGGGGGTACCTCCAACTGACTTGTGCACGGCACCCTACTAACCGATCTCTAGCGATGTGCCAAATTTGAGCACAATCGGCCCAACCGTTCTCGAGATCTGGAAGCGGCACCCTGCACGTGCGCACGTGCAGAATGGGTCCCAACTGACTTTTGCACGGCACCCTACTAATTGGTCCCTAACCGTGTACCAAATTTGAGCGACATCGGTCCAGCCATTCTCGAGATCTGGAAACGACCCCTGCACGTGCGCACGTGCAGCAGCACCCCAACTCTGGCATATGGATATGCAGTGCCTAGTGGGTGCCTACCTACATGCCAACTTTCAGCGCAATCGGCCAAGTAGTTACCGAGATATTGCAACAATTACAAAACTGACACCTCTTCGTTTTGCGCGTGGCACGTGCAAAAGGGGTCACCCACATGCATCGGGAATAGTCCAATACTTGGTAGAAGGAATGAAGCTACCCTACAAAAATTACCCCGTGTAAATCGGTCAAGTGGTTGCTGAGATATAAGCCTCGCAAAAGCGTCCGCACGGCCGGCCGGCCGGCCGGCCGGCCGCTCATACTCAGAAATTTCCGTTAATCTAAGGAAAGACTACGCTCGCTTCGCTCGCTCCGTAACCAGCGCCGTGCTGGGGGCGTTTTTACGCCCCCCCCCCTCTCAGGTATTTCGCGAAAGACCTCTCCATTATATGTCAATTGGAGAAAAATTGAAATGCGTCTCTTTTGGAATGGTTGAGTTGACCTTCCAGGTCAGGTCAATGACCCAAAAGTCGGGAAAATCAGGACTTGATAGAACGTCGTAAAAAGTGGCTGCTAAGAGGTTTTTCGGGGTACTGATCACTCATGATAGTTTTGCTCACAGATGATATGTCTTCATGCATTTAGGCCAGGTCGGGTCAGGTCAGGTCAGGTCATCCAGTAGGGGTCCTGCCGGGTATTCGTAGTAGGTGTCAACTACCTCTGATCAGAGGTAGTTGACACCTACTACGAATACGAGCGCTCGTAACATGTTACGAAGCCACACCAAAAATACTTCGATAAATGTTCAAGTGGTTGCTAAATTCCAATTCGGTCCTAAAAACTAGCCTAGAACATGTAAAACTCGAAAAAGTGAGCCGAGGTCATCAAAGGTCAATGACCTGACCTGACCTTCAGGTGACCTTGACACCCACCCTAAAGCATCGGACCAACATCATATCACATGTTTGAACGCTTGAAACCACAAAAAGACTGCAAACGCGCGCCTAATCCGAGCCGACATACCGCGAATACGATTCCGGCCAAACATGATCTCGAAAAGTAGGTCACATATCAAAGGTCATTTAGGCCAGGGTCATGAAATTTTAAGAGTAGGTGTAAAATTGATCAATGCGAGGGTAATGAAAGTTTCGTCGCGATCTGCCGCTTCTTACGCGAGTTATTCGTGAAAAACCGGTGGGGGGTCCGTTTGACCCCCCTTCCTACACGGGCGAGGGCTAAATTTGGAGCCAATAACTTTGTTGCCTCGTTACGGCGCATACGTACACTCGTTTTGCCACGACGTTTTATCTCTATGAGGAACGAACTATAGTGAGGGGAGGATTGTACCCGCTCTTATTTGTCCCCTGGCCGGGACGCTGAAGAAAACCTTTTGATGCGGCAACATAAGGTCATGTCCCCAGAAGTCTAAATCTTGCCTTTACGGAAGGTCACAGCACACCATGCACTGCGGATGTGTATTCGACCGTCCCTGCTCGGATTCCAGATTGCACCATGCTCTGCCGACTGTTTCTTCTGCTGGCCGTGAGTGGGGCTGCGGTGGCCTCAGCGGCCACGGCGGGGGACGCGCTGCCGCTCCGCCTGCAGCTCCTCCAGGAGGAACAGGAGGACTGGAGCGACGCCGAGGAGTCCGCCGGGGAGCCCGCCGATGAGGACCCGTTCCTGGGGTTCCGGGCGGCCGACCAGTGGCCGCCAGGCGGCGTCAGCCTGCCGCTCAGCCCGCCGGTGACGCTGGCCGACGGCGTGGTTACCGGTCAGGTGTACACCATCAACCCGCAGCGCACCACGCTCGCCTACCAGGGCATCCCGTTCGGCGAGCCGACCAACGGGTCGCTGCGCTTCATGGTACGAACTGCGCGGACTATCGCCGGCGCCATTACCCCGGTGGAGGCACGGGTTGTGCCAGCCATCGCACGACATGTTTGGCTTACGTGTCATTTCCGTGATTTTGCACAATTTTGCTGTACATGACAGTCTTGCAGCCTTCTTTATTCACTATATTTTGTTTTATGGTACGTAAAGTATTCCAAAGATAAAGTCATGCTTACCTACGCATAGCCCCTTATTTATACAAGCGAGGCTGTAAACGCGGCGCTTCCATTATAGGTACTGCTAACACCCGGAGCCACGCTTGATTGTTAAGGTAACACGTTTCGCCGCTATGTATTACCTATCACAAATACCTACCTACTTACAGCCTTGTATGCAATACTTTACCATAAAAAAGAAAACTACAATTCACTTCACCAGGGCATGAACGGAGAAGCAGGACGGCCATCCTATAGGTAAATGGGATTCAGCCCCTTTGATTGGAGATTAATAAAAAGCTAACTTTTTACGCAATTTAGACGCTTTTGCTGCACCTAATTCACTTCCAGCTTTAGCCAGGTGGCCCAAGAGGACGACAGAAAATCATCTCATCGCGGTAGCTGCAGCCTAGCTTGGATCAAAAGTCTATCATTGTCTACCTGATTAAAGGCTTCTTGTATGAACCAAGAAAGTTGATATCACTTCGTTTTGCACGACATAACTAGAGCCGCTGAAATGGTCATGCATCAACCCTATATATGATGATGTGATATCGGCGTGGGCGCTATTACCCCGTGGGCGGTATTGCCCCTGAAAATGCTAACTTTTTAATCGTACCCCATATTTAGAGGGTTCAAATTTTGCGACCTTTATGCTTTAGTATTTGAGGATTGGCTAAACATAGTATTTAGACAGCAAAGTTAGTGCTGCAGGTTTTTTGTTTCTCCTGATATGAACAGCTTAGGGCATCGTCATTCCCTCTCCTTCCCCTAATGTATAGGTACCCGTTTGAAGACATAAAACGGTCGTGTAAATACACACGACCTTGGAAGTCAAATGTCATGTCGAGATTGCTGGGGATGATCCGAAGATCCCAGGCTGGTCTTTGTGATTGATTGACGCCAGTGATCGTGTGATTTTATTGTCCACTGATAAGTTATCAAGCCAAATAAACCGCAGCTGTCTGCTCCAATCTCGATATCCGGTAGTTGTTTGCATTCCAACACGGAAAGTCCCATCATCAAGCTAAAAATAATCGGTTTATAACGATTTCAGATATTGAAATGTTGTATTGCGATTTGAGCATTGTTAATGAGATTATAAAAAGGATAATAAATAACCTGTTTATAACGTTTATAATAGGCATATTGTTTATAACGTTTATAATAGGTATATGTATATTGTTTCTAACGTTAATAATATATATTAATACATATTTTTAATATACCTCCAGTGAATCTAATCTCCACTGAACGCACCGTAAAGTATGTATTAATATATAGTGGTTTATAACCAGTATAGCGCCTTTTGGGGCGATAACGGAGCGCGCGAGAGGGTGAGCCTTGCACGTGCGAAATTTCGAGGGGGTACCTCCAACTGACTTGTGCACGGCACCCTACTAACCGGTCTCTAGCGATGTGCCAAATTTGAGCACAATCGGCCCAGCCGTTCTCGAGATCTGGAAGCGGCACCCTGCACGTGCGCACGTGCAGAATGGGTCCCAACTGACTTGTGCACGGCACCCTACTAACTGGTCCCTAACCGTGTACCAAATTTGAGTGCCATCGGTCCAGCCGTTCTCGAGATCTGGAAACGACCCCTGCACGTGCGCACGTGCAGCAGCACCCCAACTCTGGCACATGGATATGCAGTGCCTAGTGGGTGCCTACCTACATGCCAACTTTCAGCGCAATCGGCCAAGTAGTTACCGAGATATTGCAACAATTATAAAATTGACACCTCTTTGTTTTGCGCGTGGCACGTGCATAAGGGGTCACCCACATGCATCGGGAATAGTCCAATACTTGGTAGAAGGAATGAAGCTACTAGTGGTGTCTGTCAATCGGAACTTGAATCTTCGGAATTCCGATTTTGTCCAATGTCCAATTCGGAATTCGGTTGGACAATGACAGCAGGCTTTGGATAACTTTGGACAATCGCTTGCTACACCTCAACATTTCTTAGAAAGTAATCGTGTTTAACATTAATTGGCTATTAGAAAGCTCAGCTTTCGATATGATTAACACTTTTGAGCTGGTAATGGTACATTGAAAGCAAATTAAATAACAGTGTTGAGTGTTAACTATTGCGAAGGTGTCGGGCATCTTTGGACAAATGGCTGGATTGGACATTTTTGGACGGACAATCGACGTAAGTATTGCACATTGGACGGACATTGGACATACGTTTTCTGAAATTGACACCAATAGAAGCTACCCTACAAAAATTACCCCGTGTAAATCGGTCAAGTGGTTGCTGAGATATAAGCCTCGCAAAAGCGTCCGCACGGCCGGCCGGCCGGCCGCTCATACTCAGAAATTTCCGTTAATCTAAGGAAAGACTACGCTCGCTTCGCTCGCTCCGTAACGAATAGCATTGCGAAGCGGATAATCAGGACCAGGGCTGCGGAGTCGATGGATTTTCGGCGACTCCGACTCCGACTCCGGCTTTCAAAAACCAGCTCCGACTCCGCCTCCGACTCCGGGCAGAATTGTCGACTCCGACCGACTCCAACTCCCGACTCCGACTCCGCAGACCTAGCAGGGCTGCGGAGTCGACAGATTTTCGGTGACTCCGACTCCGACTCCGGCTCGGGTTTCTAAAATCGACTCCGACTCCGACTCCGACTCCGGTCACAACTGTCGACTCCGACCGACTCCGACTCCGACTCCGACTCCGACTCCGCAGCCCTGATCAGGACACTCTGGTTGTTATTTGTCTCGCGCATAACGCAACTTTGCGGTAAATTTGGATTTTGGACAGATTACTGAAAGACCGATAACTATTGTTGGTCACGAGTTCGGTGGACGAGAGACCCAACCGTCATGCCTACCGGTAGGTATGGTGGATCACTGAACATTGTTCAAAATAGCAAAGGAGTGCGTCAAATTTCTCTAAAGAGGAGTGTCCTGTGTGGTAATAAAAATGTTAATAATTATTATTAATGTCAATATTAATATTGATATTAATATTAATATTAATATTAGGTACTAATGTGGTAATATACATACCAGTATAGCGCCTTTTGGGGCGACTAACGGAGCGAGCGAGGGGGTGAGTCTTGCACGTGCGAAATTTCGAGGGGGTACCTCCAACTGACTTGTGCACGGCACCCTACTGACCGGTTTCTAGCGATAGGCCAAATTTGAGCACAATCGGCCCAGCCGTTCTCGAGATCTGGGAGCGGCACCCTGCACGTGCGCACGTGCAGAATGGGTCCCAACTGACTTGTGCACGGCACCCTACTAACTGGTCCCTAACCGTGCACCAAATTTGAGCGCCATCGGTCCAGCCGTTCTCGAGATCTGGAAACGACCCCTGCACGTGCGCACGTGCAGCAGCACCCCAACTCTGGCACATGGATATGCAGTGCCTAGTGGGTGCCTACCTACATGCCAACTTTCAGCGCAATCGGCCAAGTAGTTACCGAGATATTGCAACAATTACAAAAGTGACACCTCTTCGTTTTGCACGTGGCACGTGCATAAGGGGTCACCCACATGCATCGGGAATAGTCCCAATACTTGGTAGAAGGAATGAAGCTACCCTACAAAAATTACCGCATGTAAATCGGTCAAGTGGTTGCTGAGATATAAGCGTCGCCCGGCCGGCCGGCCGGCCGCTCATACTCAGAAATTTCCGTTAATCTAAGGAAAGACTACGCTCGCTTCGCTCGCTCCGTAATTAAATATATCCGCGATATTCACATTACATTTACAAGCATACTGCAAATAACGATAATATAGCACAGTGAAGTGTTACCTATGCAGCCCACTTGCAGTACCTACTGAGCTCCTCTACTAAAGGTGAACGGCGTGCCGGTTTCAGCCTCCGGTCAAGAGGAAGCCGTACGGGGCTATCAACGCCACCTACCCGTCGTACAACTGTCCCCAGTCGGGCCTGCAGGGACCGGGCACCGAGGACTGCCTCTACCTCAACGTCTATACGCCCAAGGTATAGGCCTCTATTTCTTCATTATCGCGAACATGTCAAGGGCAAAGTCTCTATAGAGACTTTAAGTATACCTACATCATATTATGTCACGCGTGCTTTGAAATGCCGGAGCTCTGCTAAATGCTAACCATCGGTCATGTGTAGGTACCTTGTACTTGTAGTACTAATTTGCTTCCGAGGAGGCGTCACCAATGCTCGTCACCACCGCGCTGGTTTACACTTTGCAGCTGCCCAACGCCACGCACAATCCGAAAATGGCCGTGATGGTGTTCATATACGGCGGCGCGTTCGTGGCGGGCGGATCCAACATCTACTACCCGGGCCGGCTGCAGAAGGACAGGGACATCGTGCTCGTCACGCCGCACTACCGTCTCGGCGCGCTCGGTCAGTGGGGGACACCGTGCTCTCTGGACCAAATGCATCATGCTAAATGGAACAGGGACAGACATTGCAGCTCTGTGCGACCAAATGGCAGTCCACACACCGATGGGAGCATGCATCTCATATAAAAATGCATACCGTAAAGTGGGGCTATTTGAGACAGTGGGGCTATTTGAGACAGTAAGGTAATGGTATAGTAAAATCGCTGTAAAATGAAAACCGTTTGATGTTTTTTTCGTCATTTTTGCTTAGGCTGATGTGGAATTGAACAATGAATGCTCTGAATAACCTTTTTGAAAATTTCGAAGAGTTCTGAAAGAAATTTGCAATAAAATACGAAATACAGAAAAACGCACAATTTAAGTTGCTCGAAAAGGACCCCTTACCTGCAGCTTAAAAAAGTTGAAGTTTTAACAGCTTTGCCACTGTATCTATCGTTACTACCTTTTTTCTTATAGGCTAAGCACATTTTTCATGAAAATATTATATATTGTTAACGGTACTGCCGATTGCGTAACCCATTGTCTCAGAATCCCGATGATGCCCACCTGGTCAAACCTCAAAGGATATGCCAAATAGCTGATGATAACGGTGATGCGATGCACCCGAGAAGACTTACCGCCATCTACCTGAAGTGCATCGACCGTTCGACATGAGCAACACCGGTGAATCGGTCGTGGTCATAAACGTGCAGTGGGTTCATGGTAGGTACTTTTAGCAGCAAGCAATATGTACCATGTTCGTAGTGTAACATAATAACCCTTTAGCTGGTGACCAAACTAGTTATTCTGATGAATATGTGCTAAAAATGTGCTTCATCAGTCACTGACTCATTCGACAATCAACATATGTCTACCTTGATTGACCAAAAAACACCATTGAATGTTACTTAACACATGAACGTACTGTTAGGTGAGCCTATCCAAGCATAGATGTGGTAGGGTAACCGGCCAAATGTAACCTCAAATGTTTTGGGAAACCTTTTGCCTTGTTTGATTCATTACAGTGTGCTTCATAAGGTAGCGAGACTGTTTCAAATAGCCCCACCGACTTTCGGTATATCTGTTTTCACGTCACCGGGGCTATATACAAAAACTTACTTTCAAAATTTTACTGTCGATGACTTTAAAATAGTCCTTGATGATCATCCTGTCAGTTTGAAAGCTATGGGTCACATCATATTATGATAGCCTAAGCATGTAGTGATGCAATTTTATACCCTACCAAAATGAAGTGTCCAACGAAAAAGGAAAAGATTGAATATAAAGGTCATATAACAGTCTTTGAAAAAAACACAGTTTTTGCCAAAATGATCAAAATTCAATTTCCAAATGTATGGCGTTTAAAAAATTACCTCTAGCGTGACCGATTTTCTTTAATTTCCTTGCAACTAAAACTGTCTCAAATAGCCCCACCCTATGGGGCTATTTGAGACAGGCTTTAACATAAAAAATAACCTTAATCATTATTACTAGCTGAACCAAAATACACCTATATGAAAGAGCTCACAGAGAACTACATTTTTGCAATTTACATGCTATAAGAAATATGAACCGTCTTAAAGGGAGAGGCCAAAAACTGTAAAATCCGTTTCAAATAGCCCCACTTTACGGTACCTTAGCTTTCAACGCCGACAGAGAGAAAAGTTGCTAAGTTAACATTCAGCAATGTAGGTACAATTGAAGTATACCTACAAGTATGCATTCTCGTAAGAAAGCAAATACTCGCAAATCGATAGTTTTTGTTGTTTGCAAACCTAAACATTTTACTTAAAACACGTGCATAGGAAATGTGTTTTTGTCAAATGTAAGCCCAGACACAAACGCCGCTGATTTTCCGTTGCGATTTCCGTCTGGTGCAGGGTTCTTCACGACACTGACGGACGACGCGCCTGGCAACGTGGCGCTGCTGGACCAGGTGCTGGCTCTGCAGTGGGTGCAGGACAACATCGCCGCGTTCGGCGGCGACCCGGACAAGGTGACCATCTTCGGCGAGTCGGCCGGCGGCGCCAGCGTCTCCCTGCTGCTCGTCTCGCCGCTCGCCAAAGGTGGGTGTCAGGAGGGGCCGTAGAGTGAATCAGCAGAACGAGAGAGTGGCTGACACCGCGCTTCAGAGCGCGGGGTGGTTGCATCAAAGTGCGTTGTATTTTCTATCAAATCTCTATACGAATTTGTGCGTTCCATTTTCCCTGATATCGCTGTATTTACGATCGCAATCGCTTTACCTGACGCTGTCCTCCGTGTCTGAGGTCACACGCTGCGACCGCTGACCTCGCCCCGTCCCCGGTCGGCGACAGGTCTGTTCCGCGCGGCGATAGCCGAGTCTGGGTCGGCAGTGCTCGACTGGGCCTACAACGAGGAGCCGCTGGCCACGGGCCGTGACCTGGCCACGCGCGCCGGCTGCCCCCTGGAGCCCATCAGTCAGATGTTGGACTGCATGCGCAGCCTCTCCGCGGAGGAGATGGTTGAACTGGGCAACCAGTACGCGGTGAGCTCGTGTGGGAAATAGTGGGTACTGGTCAAGCTCATCTAGCACCTGTTATTGACAAAAAGACATTTTTTAGACATCAGTCACCACTTACCAGTCACTTGAACTTTTGTCGGACGCGTAAAGGCCAGCGATTTAGAAGCTCAGTCATCGACTCAGGATGACCAAATGGTGTAGCCAAAAGCATTGGCACTACAACAATGAGTCTCATGCACTTAAAGGACTGCATTAAATGGTCGAGCGTGCTAGTCGAATAAACATGTCTATAGTCAGTGGCTCCTTCCTAAAGCGCCTGACTTTTAAAGACTCGTATCCATATTGAGGACTTACCTATTCCAGATATGACATCAGCATAGTAAATCATGTGCATTTAAAACAGAGCTACTTAGGCTAACCATCGATACTAATTCCGTAGTCCGTTTGTAACGTGTTGATGTTTGGAGGTTAATTGCAAGTCTTTAAAAGCCCTTCAACATTCAGTCAGTTTACTGCGTAAACTTGGCCACTTCACGGTAATAGTGAGTGCGCCAGACAAAACTGTCGAACTTTTTCTATTGAGATATGGTAAATTGTTTATGTGCGACATAACAAAAGTGCAGCTTACTTAGCATTGACGCTGGGTAGACTACAATGAACGTGCAGTTCACAACTCATGATCTTATTACTTCCATGCACAAGGTATAAACGCGCCTTGAACCGAAACAAGCCATTTACTTTTAAATTGTTGAACGCGCTTATTTATGAAGGTGTTGACATGTTGAGTGAAGTTAGACATAAATCGTTCAGAAAAAAACACACTCATCGCCTACAGACGCCTCTGACTGTCGTTTTCGAGGTCATAGAGGACGTCAACAGGTGATTCTCCAGCTGCTTATACTCGGAGTGACCTCCCTCCCCGCCGCCGTCCTTCTCTGTACATACATAGATCGTCTGTTCTGCTGACAGGCCGACGAACGAAGCGTGGCGAGGAACGGTTTCGACGGCCTGAACCCGGTGGTGCAGCCGGCGACGGTCAGCGAGCAGTACCGCTTCCTGCCCAAGGACCCGACCACGCTCATCAGGGAGGGCAACTTCAACAGCGTGCCGACCATCCACGGCGCCAACAAAAACGAGGGCTCGTTCGTCTTCGGACGTGAGTAAACACGCGCGTGGGAAATGAAGGGGACCTAATACGTGCGACTTGATTACCAAGTTGAGCTAGTTGAGTAGAAGCACAATTCATACTGAATATTAAAACGAATGGGCATAACACGGGTAAAAGCAAATTGTTGAAAGACTTAGCCAGAGGTTACATTGTTTCAATAGCCAAGAACAATTGATTCGAAATAATCGTTTTATTGCTAAGCGCAATCCTCCAGTACCTAATAAGCGTGACGTTTTCTTTCAGTCATGTACAACGATTACATGAAAGTCAACAATCTGACTGACGACACCGACTTCTTGCAATACGAGTGCATCAGCAAGATGCTTTATGCCTTTCGTAAGTAAAACGTGTCGTATGGATCTACATGAATAACCTATCTTGATCATAGTTTAATAATAATATATCTAAGAACGGTTGTTAGCAGGCACAATAGCATACAAAATGCGTTGCATGTCAAGACCGTGTGTCCTATTGATTCGCAATCTGCTGGCATTCGCAATCTGCTGGCGGCGGTACCATACACAGCGTCACTGACAATAATTTCTAGTGATGTTTTAGTTTAGTTGGAAGGTGCGAATCAAGCTTTTTAACGTCACTCCGCACGCCAGTGTTGCTAACTTCAGTAAGCGCTGCGCTGCCTCATGAAGGTCCGATACGAAACTGTTTGTTACAGATGTCAGCGACCCAACGGACGGCGTCACAGAGTCCATCTCCAACCAGTACTTCTACTACGTGGACAGCTGGGACGTCGACACCATGTATCCCGGACTGGAGGACGTAAGATCACCCCACTAACCTTAACCGGTCCCTAGAGGACGCAGGATCGTCCCACTACATGGGAGCTTACCCCCAACCCAGATCACAATGCAGAAAACCACTGAAGCCTTTGTATTCGTTGAAATAGATGCAAACTCAGCATATCTTTCGCCTGGACACGACGAACAGAACGGTAACACGTCTCTTCAACATTGTGAATGTCTTCCTCTATTTCCAGTTGACTGGCGTGTTCGGCATTAAAGCCGGTGCCAAAAAGATGGCCGACATGCTGTCATCCGCTGGCACCCCCTCCTGGATGTATTCGTTCGACTACCGCGGCAAGAAGAGGCACACCATGTCCAACTTCCTCTTCATCGGAGACGATAAACTGCCGTTCGAGCCAGGTGAGATTGCGGTGCCGGATAATTGACAACAAACTTGAGATGAGCGATGAGCAAATGCGGTTGCTGTTGCGGTTGCTGTACTTACCAAGCGATCAATCCGTATCAATGCGTGAGCCGTTGTCCGTTTCACCATCGCACCAGAATCTGGTGAAGCAGGTTCTCTTGACAATAACTTTATCAAGAATGATATCTGACGGGCGATCTGGACAAGAACTTACCGACAAAAATGGATGTAGCAAGCTAGCGGAGTACGAGTACAAAGTATTGTAGTTCTTTTGTTCACACTTTCGCTCACACTAAAGGCGGCCGCACACTAGGCCATTCGGCGGGCGACATTCCGCAAAAACGCAATTCCGTAGCGACATTACGCTTTCGTGGACGCCGAATCAGCTGCCGAAACGACAAAATTACCAGCCGACCGCTGCCAGCCAGCTGTCCGCGGGTAGAGTGCGCATGCGCGCGGACAGCCGCGGAGTTGCGGAAAAAGCTGGACCGGTTCAGCTTTTTCCGCGGCGACGCCGCGGACACCCGAAATTGTGGAACTTGAAACTCACCAACTATTGATGGAGCAGCCGATAAGGTAGGTACTTGATAAAGTATCGTAGCGGCACTTCTTTCCCCATATTAGATTGTTTTATACACTTCATTGGTTATTCTAATAGCAGGTTGCTATGTGCCTCTCCACAATTGTCTTTAGGTTTCTTGCATTTGTCGACAAACACGGTTGTTTACATTAATCACGAGCTTTATTTTTTTGCAACTTCCTCCAGAAATTATGTCAAATTAATAGATATTCAAAACTTAATTTTACAGAAATATAGCAAAATCGCATTAAATGAGCAAATACTATATTTGCTTAAATGTATTTAGCTTGCATTCGTTTATATTTATCATAAAATATTTCACATAAAGTTCCTGAAAATACTAAGTAGAAAATCGCACCGCCGAATGGTCCCGTAAACTGCTGAAAACAAGCGGAAAGCCGCTGTAGGAATGTCGCCCGCGACATTCCGCTTTTGCGGAATCTCGCCCGCCGAATGGCCCAGTGTGCGGCCGCCTTAACGGACGACGTTGTGAGACTGTTTATGTCCATTACAGGCGTGACGCACGCTGACGAGCTGATGTACCTGTTCCCCATTCCGCTGATGACGGACTTCAACGACGAGGAGAAACACGTCTCCCAGATGATGACAGACATGTGGACCAACTTCGCTATGGAGCTGTACGTAGCTTAACGTTTTTAAAGGGAGATAATGAGCTTTCTTTTTTCTTAAATACAAATTACTCGACATCTACGCTATTTCTACTGTAGTTTATAAAATATGAAAATTTCCTAGCACATTTTCGTATGTGAAAAAGGTTTTTATTTTTGCAAAAAAGAAGCAGTAGGGGAAAGTGGGGTAAGACGGTCAGGGTAGGTAAGACGGGCACCCCTTCTGCAGACCAAACCAATAGCGCTACGAGCAAGAAAAGTTAGGACCAGAATTGCCTTTCCCACTACACACCACCATTCAAGTCTGGTGAATTTGTGTTCAGTCGATAATCTTTTATTTTGATTTCTTTAAAACACTCATTTCATTGAAAACATCCATAATGTATTGTGCAAGCTTTTGTGTACAGCACTATAGAGTTAAAAACTCGCAATCACTTGTGGTACACTCATATGCCAACAGTGTTCATTTACGGCGGATTTGCTTTGTCTGCATCAAATTGTCCACAGCGAAAAATCGTGCTGAACTTCTGACATTGAGTTTGGGGTAAGACGGGCAACTATGAACCCAATGGGTCTGTAATGGTGAAAATATTTTTGTTGCTGTAGGAAAAAAGAAGCATTTCTAATAAGAATATGTTCGATTCCGATACTCACAGACATGTTAGCAATATTCCTTCGGCACAGTTTATTCTCGAATAATGAATGTGAAAAACGGTTCTACATGGCTTCTGAACTAGGGCCTATATAGGAGCATACGCCTTCTGCACGAATCTCGTATACTGCCATTTCCGAAGCACTTGAGACCAACGAGCGACTGTATAAATGCGGCTAATCTCGGGCATTTGTTGCGAGCTGCGCTGATCGGTGAAAGAAGCTGGCCGTCTTGCCCTACCCATGTGACCGTCTTACCCCATGGGGTGGGGTAAGACGGGTTTTTGCAAGGTTTTGCAAAAATAGCTGCAGTTTATTTGTTGAATCAGGTCTAAGTCTCATCTTCTGGCAAATGAAAGTAAAATGTCTGAAAAAGGTTTTCACCCAGTTTCCCGTTTCTATGATGTTTCTAACCGGCCGAAAAATGGCTCCAAAGTTAAGGTGCCCGTCTTACCCCACTTTCCCCTACTTGCAGTAGGTACTTGTAACACCCACCGAAATGCGTTGTCCTTCTCTATAAAAAAGTCGCAGTATATGGTGCTTTTGTTTCAAACAGCGACGCTTGGGTTTTTGTTTATGTTATCGCCTTGTTGTTGCTTGGTTGTAAGGATTCTAATTTGAATTAGAGTTAATTCGGTTTAGAATTAATTAGATTCTAATTCGGGGGTACACAGTGCCTATACTCTTCTTTGTTTCCAAGTATTATTTTGCGGCACAAATGAACGGCATGCGCCAGAAACGCAGCCAAATCTTGCGATTGCGACTACGAAATTCATTATTTTGGCCTCAGAGCCTGAAGCGAAAAATACAAGCATATTTATTTCAAAAAGACTTCAGGTTTGTCGAACGGTGTTATGAGAATTTTGATAACAGTACTGCATAAGTTTTTCAGTGATGCCGCAAAAGTGTTGTATCTATCTTCTTTTATTGTGCAGTCGGCGGGACCGATTCAAAATTGAGTCGTTGCTACTAAAATAGCAGCATATGGCGACAGATGATGAACAGGAAAAATAGTTGCGTAAATTTAGACATAAACCACCCCCAAACCATGAATATCTTTTGAAGGCACTATAGACGACCATTAACTAACTAGATGTGATGAAGATCAAATGTAATGAATACGCTCATTTTACAAAATTACATGCAAGTACCAAAAAGTGATGTAAGTACTTATTCAACGGTCATTTTCAGCGCTCCCCGCTAACGTGACTTCAAGTTGAGATATTTGCGGCAAGGTACCGAATTGAGCAAAATGGTTTTAATTTACATTATAACTTGTTGTGTTTTGTCAGAAAATGGTCCTAACTCAGATTTTGTGGAAAAAGGTCATAATCTCCCTTTAAGTACACCAATAAACGCTTATAGTTACAGCCTAAGCATACGGGGAGTATGCCAAAGCAGATAATAATACCGGCGCTTTATTAGGTCGCTGCAGTTCTGACACACTATCATGCCAATTAACCCGGCCGGGCCCGGAGGGTAATCCCAACCACCGCAGCCCGGGGGTTTCACCCCCCCCCCTGTCTAACTCCGTAAATAAGGGAGCTACGGAAACAAAAGCGATACCAATCGAAAGGTCCTTACAAGACGATTCTAAAGCAACTAAAATTTTTGACCTCAGGTCAATTTTCAAGGTCAGAGGTCAAGGTCAAAGGCAAAAACCGGCACATGTGTAGTGATCTCAAAGTAAGCCTTCTAGAGGACCGCAAGCTGCATCAAACCGGCAAAATTGGGTGTCAAACGAAAGAAGAGAATCTGAGGATTCCGAAAATGTGCTCAAAATCAAAGGTCAAGGTCAAGGTCACGCTCAAAATTGACCTCAAACTTGGCACTTTTTCGCACATCTTGCGTGCTAACTTCCAAGATGTTTTGAAATGTTTTGAGGCTTATCAGTTCCCTATTTGTGGTTCATCTTACGATACAAGGCTGCTCAAAGGTCAAGGTCACAGAAGAGTATCCCTGCTAGAGGCTATTTCACTAATTCAAGTTTGAAATTAGTAATAATAAATAAGACAATTTTGCCATCCAGAAGCTCTAAATGAAGGCTTAGAGGAAAATAGATACCAGATTCGTGATCAGCGGGTACAAATCCATCATAAACGATCTTTCATGTGTCAAGGTCAACCAGAGGTCATTCGAGGTCACATGAGGTCAACACAAAATTTGACCTTTTCCGAAAAAAATATATATTATTTGACGCGGCTTGACAAGGCGAATGCGATGGTACCACTGCCGTAGCTCTAGCACTATTTTTGTCAAAGTTATTTGCGAAAAACTAAAACCACATTTCGGGGTCGTTGACCTGACCTCTGACCTCAGGTCACCAAAACTATTTTTCTATTTTTCTCTAGGTCAAACGCTACACAACCGTGCTCGTAATTTGTCTTTATCTCTAAAACTCCATTTTTAGCAGCTATTTGAAGTTTGCGTCTGTGACGCCTAAGTTTGCCGTGCAGGGGTCTAGAAAAATGGACCTTGTGACGTCATCAAGGGGGCTAGGTCCAAATTTTTTACTTCCGAAGATGTCAAATTGATGGGAGAAAAGGTACTGAAAGTTTCGCTTTCCTATCCCAAAGCGTTCGGGAACTATCGCAAATATTCGCCAGGGGGGGGGGCGAAAAACGCCCCCCCCGGCCCGCGAGGGTTAACCCGCGCGGGGCTGGGGGCAGCGCGAATTTTTGCGATATCTCAAAAACGGCGGCGCGCAGCGCCGCCAAACTTTCAGTACCTTTTCTTACATCAATTTGACACGTTCCCTGAAAATTTGAGCGAAATCCCTCGGAAAATTTTTGAGAAATTGACGTTTTAGTGACATCATGTTCGTCATTTTCGCCTCAAAAACGGCAAAAGTTCAAACGCCGCTAACATCTTCATTTTTAAAGGAATCAAGACGTAACAAAAAATGTTATACGTAATTTTACTTTGTCTATCAAATGGCTATCTCGGTTTTTTCAAATTTTTGGATTTGGCCTAAATTTTTTCAAAAAACTGACTTTTTTGGGAAAATCATTATAAAATCCAAAATTTTGAGTCTATCGAAAAAACCGGAATATATATCAGAGAAGTGGTCTATGTGCACCTACATACCAAATTTTAGAAGAATCGGTTCAAAAATGTGGGAGTTATTCAAAATTTTATGACGTCACGACACACAAAATTTTTGAAAAATGACTTTTTTGGAAGTTCTAGACCTCGTACGGAAACAAAAATAGCACCATTCGATTCGCCGTGAAAAACTGCATCAGATAGACACCTTTTTAGGCCTTAACAACCAACTTCAAAATTTGACCTCACTTGACCTGACCTTGACCTGACCTCGACCTGAAATTCATCCAGAGGTGGTCCATATCACTTATTGAGTGTGCCTATTGAATTCTATGAGTAAAATGACCCATAAAACATGTGTCGCACATGCCCTTTTCTATATTTTGTTTTTTGGTGACCTGACCTGACCTGACCTGACCATGACCTTGACCTCTGAATGATATTGTATGCAACGAATATTGTCTTGGTAGCCTAAGAACACGTTTTGGGCGATCAGTCTCAGTCCATAACTCCATTCTTCGGCAACTACGGTGCAAGGCCGATACTGTAGAAACTTGCAATTTGTACCCTTGACCTGACCTTGACCTTGACCTCAAACTTTAAATTAAGTACATTTTTTTAGTAGTTCGTGATGAGAGCTTTCGATTGGCGTTTGAATTTTCCAAATCGGACCGTTAGTTCGGGAGATAACAGGGGGGGGGGGTAAAAATTTACCCCCCCCCCAGCCCCGCGCGTTCGGCTGGAGACCCCAGCCCCGCGCGGGTTAATATTCAGGGACCAGGCGCCACAGAGCTGACCGAACCCGTCCGGTGACCCCAGAGACCCGACGCCGGCCGGCTCGGGCCTGACGCGGTGGCCGCAGGTCTCCGAGGGCGGCGCCTACCTGCAGATCGCCGCCACCGCCACCGTCAAACACGACTTCAGCCAGACGTTCGATATCTCCGTGCAGGAGCACGTCAACGCCAGCCTGACGACGCCGGCGCCGAGCACGAGCGCCGCGCCGGGTCCGAGCACCAGTCCGGCGCCGCCAGTCACCTCGACCGAGTCGAGCTGCCAGCGCGAGATGGAGCGTCTTTCGGAGCAGCGGGACACCTACCGGGGCGCCACCATCGGGCTGGCCGTGCTGGCCGGCGTCGGCGCCCTCCTGCTCATTGCCGCCGTCACCATGATGTCCCGCTCGCGGCGCCGCGGACCCGTCAGCACCATGGTCATGCAGGAGAAGCCGCCACACGCGTGAGCGGCCGCCGCCAATTCATCGTTCCAGAGGACTACCTACTACTATCCACTGTCCGATGGCCGCCGTGTCTCGAGCTAGTCACCAACCGTGCCAGTCGGCCCGGTGTCTCAGCCACTGAACTGAATGTGTCTGGGCTGTTCGAGGTCTGTCTTGGGCCTCCCTGAGGCGTGTGAGAAGTGGAGACCCAAGGTGATACACGTGTGCAAATGCATGCAGATCATGCTGACCGCTGTATCAACCACTCGAGCTCACCACTCCAATTGTTTCGAGTCCTGAGTGGTATCACCTTATTTTGCTTAGCACGGAACTGAATAATAAACGTTTCTATAACTACATATGATGTAGCTGCGTCCTTGTGCTAATCATGATGTATGTGATTTAGTTGCAGCTAAATTTTTTTTCACCCAAAGTTAGCTAATGCATGGCTAGGTTAATTGTTGAGCATTGCTGTTCGGATGTTGTCTGATAGTATGCCCATTCGTTGGCGCATGCACATGCGTGTTTGCACGTGTGTCAACGATCGTTACATCGCGCAGGAAGCACTATGCAATTCATGCAAGCATCAACGTAGGGCTTGAATACGAGCCAGACATGTTCATTGTTTATATATGGACATGGAAATGGCTGTTTGTAGTTTGTACCGAAGTACCTACTTATATTGATAATACATGTTTTCACTTGACAGTAGGTATAAGATCAGGCTCCTGTGTAAAGTTTGTAGGTTATACCTATTCGTGTAAATGCTTAGAGTTAATCCCGTATGTATAAAAATATAGGTATTGAATTCATATTGTTGTAATTAAGTGCACCTTTTTATAGGTATACTGTATATTATAGAAATAAACAAAAAGAACAAAATATTCACCCAAAATCTTTAACTAGCAAAGACCACGAGAGCCCCACAGAAGCGTCCAACAAGCATATCTTCCACTTAACCCGAGCCCTGCTGGGGGGGGGGAGTTGTTTGAATACACCCTCAGGTTTTTCGCGAATATCTACATATTTTTAAAATTCAAACGGCATTCGATAGCCCCACCGGAAAACTACCTTGTGACCAAATTTCATTGACCTAGGTCAAAGCGATGACGTCACAGGTCAGGTCAAAGGCCGGATTTTCACCGTTCACAGGCATTTCAAGAAATGTGTTGTGAAATCGGGTAAATTGATAGTTATTGAAAACCATCAATGGTAGATTGTTCGTCAAACACATACTTTGCTATCTGAGGTCACTGATACCAGGTCAGGTCACTGGGGGTCACAATATGAAAGTGCCGCGTGATGCATGTTTTATGGTCCATTTTACATGACAAATGCGATTATGTGGGTCAGGCAGCCTTTGGGGCCAGCTTAGGTCACGTTTTGGTGAAGGTCAGGTCAAGGTCAGGTCAAATAAGGTCAAATTTCAAAGTTGATATTTTAGCATAAAATGGGTGGTATCGATTCGATGCGGCTAGTCACGGGGAGTCCAATAGTGGTCTTTGTTTTGCTCTACGTGGTCTAGAATTGCCAAAGATTGATTTTAAAAATTTGACGTCATCATTTTTGAACATTTTTTTTTTCGATATAACTTGGCCAAAAAACGAGATATCGATCAGAAATTTGGTATGTAGATAGAAGACGGTAGGTACAGCCCACCGCTAAAGTAATGTAGGGTTTTACCAATATCAACGGTTGGCTTTGACTGGCGATTGTTTAATGCGGAGTGATCGAAAAGAAGATGTCAATAGCTAAAGGTGCAGCTGTAAGGGTGACGATACATATAAGCTACATTCAAAGTTTCATTGTAGTCTGGCTAATCGTTCCTAAGCTTCAGAAGCAGAACATACCCATGACTGAAACCCCACATTACTCCTGCTGTGGACTGTTCCATCACATATATTCCGTTTTTTAAACTCATTTTTTGGATTTTTTGGATAATATCCAAAAAATGCTTTTTTGATTTTTGGGGTATGGATTCGATCAAAACTGAAAAAATCGAAAATCCGAGATAGCAGTTTTGTAGCCCTATCAATTCTACACCTTTTATGTCTTGGTCATTTTCTGTATCTTCAAAGCTGTAGGCCTGAGAGCTCTTCTCGCGAAGGTCTTTTTTCGGTCGAAAATGGCAGAATATAACGTCATTCTGACGTCAATTGTGGCCAACCTAGCCTTTGGAAAAAATGTTGGTCACAATGTGTAAAATTGATGCCCGGAGGGGTCTTGAAAGTTTGGTGGCGATATCTGCAGCCGTTTAGGAGATATCGACGGAAAAGGAGAGGGAGGGGGGCGTTTCGGCCCCCCACGGGGCGCGGGTTGGTCAGGTCACCAGCCAGGCCACCTCAAGTGACCTCACCTCATAAAACGTTTCAAGGCCTGCTATAGCTACACCGAGTGACCGATCACTTTGAAACTTAACCCGCGCGGGGCTGGGGTCTCCAGCCGAACGCGCGGGGCTGGGGGGGTAAATTTTACCCCCCCTGTTATCTCCCGAACTAATGGTCCGATTTGGAAAATTCAAACGCCAATCGAAAGCTCTCATCACGAACTACTAAAAACATGTACTTAATTTAAAGTTTGAGGTCAAGGTCAAGGTCAGGTCAAGGGTACAAATTGCAAGTTTCTACAGTATCGGCCTTGCACCGTAGTTGCCGAAGAATGGAGTCATGGACTGAGACTGATCGCCCAAAACGTGTTCTTAGGCTACCAAGACAATATTCGTTGCATACAATATCATTTAGAGGTCAAGGTCAAGGTCAGGTCAGGTCAGGTCAGGTCACCAAAAAACAAAATATAGAAAAGGGCATGTGCGACACATGTTTTATGGGTCATTTTACTCATAGAATTCAATAGGCACACTCAATAAGTGATATGGACCACCTCTGGATGAATTTCAGGTCGAGGTCAGGTCAAGGTCAGGTCAAGTGAGGTCAAATTTTGAAGTTGGTTGTTAAGGCCTAAAAAGATGTCTATCTGATGCAGTTTTTCACGGCAAATCGAATGGTGCTATTTTTGTTTCCGTACGAGGTCTAGAACTTCCAAAAAAGTCATTTTTCAAAAAAATTGTGTGTCGTGACGTCATAAAATTTTGAATAACTCCCACATTTTTGAACCGATTCTTCTAAAATTTGGTATGTAGGTGCACATAGACCACTTCTCTGACATATATTCCGGTTTTTTCGATAGACTCAAAATTTTGGATTTTATAATGATTTTCCCAAAAAAATCAGTTTTTTGAAAAAATTTAGGCCAAAATCCAAAATTTTCAAAAAACCGAGATAGCCATTTGATAGACAAAGTAAAATTACGTATAACCTTTTTTGTTACGTCTTGATTCCTTTAAAAATGAAGATGTTAGCGGCGTTTGAACTTTTGCCGTTTTTGAGGCGAAAATGGCGAACATGACGTCACTAAAACGCCAATTTCTCAAAAATTTTCCGACGGATTTCGTTCAAATTTTCAGGGAACGTGTCAAATTGATGTAAGAAAAGGTACTGAAAGTTTGGCGGCGCTGCGCGCCGCCGTTTTTGAGATATCGCAAAAATTCGCGAGGGGGGTAAAATTTACCCCCCCCCCAGCCCCGCGCGGGTTAAGTAATTGATAAGAGCAATAGTGTGTACAAAATATATATCTCGGAATTTCGATATCGATAACCTAAGGTCAGGTCAATTTTGCGACCTCTCCATTAGGTATACATAAGTCAAAGGGAGATAATTGAAAGGCGACCATATTGGGCGAACGTCATTCTAATCACTTTCAAACATTGAACTTTAAGTAAAGATGACACACTAAACCGGAAAATAGCACCCGTGACCCCTCGTTATGTCCCTGAAATAATCTCAGGTCACGAATAATATCTAACAGTTTTTTCGCTATTAACCCACGAGCCGCTGGGGGGGGGGGGCATAAAGTTGCCCCCCTTTACGTTTTGTGGAATATCTCCGAAACCTGATGAGCTACGAACGTGAAACTTAGCATAGCTTCAAATGAATGCCTAGGCAATGTTTGAGGAAAGTTTGGTGGTTGTAGCATCTAAGATGACGTCACAGTGACGTCATAAAGTTTTGTCGTTTTCCGATATGGACCGTTTCTGATGACGCTGAGCATGAAACTCAACTGTAAATGAACTAGACAGCACCTGCTGTCATCCTAAAACATCTAAGTACACTTCCATCTAGTTCCTAACCAATAATCGGCCCTTTATATTCGGTCCCATATACCTGATGTATCGTGAGGAAACTGCGAGTCGCAAATCTATAATTTGACTTATGACGTCACTGTGACGTCATTTCAAATTGGATCGACACCAAATTTGGACACAACCTCGGCTAGGTATTCAGGAAGATGTGTGCAAAGTTTCGCTTCTCTAGCTCTTCGCGTTGCGACGATATCGCCGCGGAAGTAAAGGGGGGGGGGGCAACTATATGCCCCCCCCCCCCCCCAGCGGCCGGCGGGTGGCGCGGAGGCCCAGCGGCCGCCGGGTTAACTTTTGATAAAAGCACGCTAGAGCGATGAAAACGCCTTAGATGTGTGCGGCTCGACGATACATATCGACTGTAAAGCCGTAATCGCCACGCCATAAGTGGAAGGCTTTTGGTGTCAATACATACATACATACATACATACATACATACATACATGCATACATACATACATACATACTGCTATGCAACACGACCTTTTCCGGTCAGGTCATGACGTTGACATGAGGTCAAATTTTCAAGTAGACCTTTTGAGGTCAACTTGTCATTCATTCAATGCCTCATCATGACGAAAGCCGAACACGATGCTCCTAAAAAAGAGCTCGTGCATGTTTTGAGTCAAAAGTTATTGGAGAAAAACTGTTTCCGCAAAAAAAACATCTATTTTGGCAGTTTTGCCACCTGCAAGCTAAGCCGTTGACCTTAGGTCAAATCTGTGTGAATTGTTCAGAAAGATCGTTAAAAGAGCTATCGAATGCGCTTTCCCGCGGCGCTGTAGCTCTATACGTTCCTGAGCTATGCGCCAATTTGTCGAAATTTATCCAAGTTTGACCTGGAAAATAGCGAAATTTTACCTTCAGCGACCTCTGCTGAGCTGACCTTGACCTGACCTAAATAGTGACCAAGTAATTTCTTCATTATTTTTACGTTCTTTCGAACGCTGCCAACGGCGTGTCGCTACGTGGTCCAGGGGCTGAGCTAGAAGACGGGGTGTTCAACCCCCCCCCCCCAGCAGAGCGTGGAAATCCAGGACCCCAGGGGGGCGTGGGCTAAGATAGGACTTGCATTTCCTGATTCATAAGAAATGTAAAAAAATCGCACCGAGCATGAACGTTCTGTAGGTTTTGTCGCAAATAGTTATGAGATATTCGTTACCCGTTTGAAGGTACAGTCCACAGCAGAAGTAATGTGCGGTTTCAGTCATTATGTTCTGCTTCTGAAGCTTAGGAACGATTAGCCAGACTAGAATGAAACTTTCAATGTTGCTTACATGTATCGCCACCCTTGCAGCTGCGACTTTATCTATTGACGTCTTCTTTTCGATCACTCTGCATTTAAAAATCGCCAGTCAAAGTCATCCGTTGAGATTGATAAAACCGCACATTACTTTAGCGGTGGGTTGTACTTAGTTCGCAGGGCGTTAGAAATTTTATATTCACTAGAAAATAGTTCGTATTTGGTTGCATACACCTCAAAACGCTGTATACGACTCTCGCCAGATTAAGCGGTAGCTTTTGCCCTTTTACCTTTCCGGTTATATCTAAAAACTAATCGATCTACGATGAAGCCATTTTAAGCGATCATGGCAAGCTTGTGACCGAACAAGTCTATCGCATCTTCAACACTCAAAAGCTTGAGACGACCAAGATATAGCCTGAAGTATACTAAATTTCATACCTGTGCAAA